GGACGTTTCCACATTAAACGAAAATAATTTATGGCGCAGTGGGTACCGTATACAGATGCAGGCGCGGTCAACCGTTCCCAGGCCACGCTGCGACAATATTATTTGGAATAGCGGCCTGAGTTTTGAATGTTCCTACTTGCAGAAGGCAAATTTTTTACGTATGCCTCATGTTGAGCCCAATGAAAACACCCTAGCTTTTTTTTTTAATATTTCGCATCAGCATTATGAATAATGTGTGAGAAACGGTCTTACGTAGCAAGGTGTGGGAGCGGGCTCGTTGGTAATTCACATTTTTGCGGCCAAAGCACAAAAAAAAAGGTAGATAGCGGACGAAGATGACACCGAGGACAAGCGCTAAAATTGAACTGAAATTTCATTACAAAGCACCAAAAATATATACCTGTCTCATAACATCACAATCACATCAATAAATACCCCAGGGTGAAGACAGACTAAAGCTCAGCAGCAGCGAATTTACGTAGAAAAACCACACGCCGGTGAATTCAAGTAATCTACTTCTTTTTTTTTTGTTAGTGCGATGGATGGCTTGCTGACGCAGCCTCGATTTCCTATCGCTGCCGCCTCAATGATATTACAATCGTTAGGTGAGTAGGCAACACCGATGTTATCAAATACCGCCGTGCATTTGAATTCTGCGCAATGCCCCGCGACAGCCACAAGAATCAAGCGGCCCCCACTTAGCTGCCTTCATGACATCCGTTGATGAAACGGTGGTATAGCCCTACCGCCTCCCTCCATTATAGTGCCCTGTCCACCGCAGCGTCCTCGACTTGAACGAAGTGGAACGAACGTTGTTTCATGCATTCATTCAGTCGGCAGAAAATTATCAGATCCATTTTATACTTTCTGGTTGTGCTCGAGTACTCGCACATTGAGGCATCTTCCTGTCTTTCCGACGTAAGTCTGATTGATTGATATGTGGGGTTTAACGTCCCAAAACCACTATATGATTATGAGAGGCGCCATAGTGGAGGGCTCCGGAAATTTAGACCACGTGGGGTTCTTTAAAGTGCACCCAAATCTGAGCACAAGGGCCTACAACATTTCCCCCTCAACCGGAAATGCAGCTGCCGCAGCCGGGATTTGAACCCGCGACCTGCTGGTCAGCAGCCGAGTACCTTAGCCACTATACCACCGCGGCAAGGCCCGACGTAAGCCTGACTGCAGGTCAAAGGCACGTTATAAACGACACTCCTCACACACTCAACAAATTCCTTTCGGTGCTTAGCTTTACACTGACAGGAGGCCTTATTATACCGGACTGGTTCTTGCACAAAAGTGTGACAACGCATTGGGCGCACAGACTACCACTGAAACCACGGCACTCTGATGAATCTTTTTTGGATTATGTGAAATTTCATGCAAATATGGTATCACAGCCACCTTCTTACACACGGCTGCCCGAGAATAGGTGCATGTGTCACTGAAGTTCGATTCTTTCCGTATAGTTTTCTGATACGGATACCAGCAAGTGAGTGAGATACCCAGCTGCCGCCAAACGAGCGTTCTGCCCTCCGAAACTTGTCATGCCAAAAATTCATGCCACCATTCGATGCAAAAAAGTTTCATGTGTCCTCCTGCGCCCGAATGCGTCTTCTTGCCTTCGTATCGTTTTTATTACTACAACGCTGTTCTACGAGTTTACCAGTGTACAGCCACCCATATATTTAAGTAGCGTGCGGAGCAGCGATACTTTTTTTTTTGAGTGAGTGCGATATGATGGAACAAAGCTGCAAAAATTTGTTTTGTGGGCCTGCACTTGACCAAACATTTTTCCTTTTTTTCGCCTTGATTCTGCCGTATCGTGCAGGTACATATAAAAAAAAAACAATGCCATTTGCACACTCTATGGTCAAAGGTTTGCTAGGCTGTACTTCAATTTATGGCCACATATTCGACCCTCGCACAGTCAACTTCTGCGTGACTCATAAATACATCGTGGCAAGGGAACTCTGAACGTGTGGCAATGCTCGTGATCAGCGCGCCATTGGGAATCTGAAGGTGGCCTTGCAGCGATATGTTCGTTTTCTCGAAAACTTTCTACGCGCAAGAATATTGAAAACAAATGCTGTCTGGATTGCATTTTCGAAATCATCTGTTAATGTGGAGCTTTTGCGAATTTGTGCATTTTACATTGTTAAAACGAAGGCGACAGCGCTAACTACGCAGTTATTTTCCAAGAGCACGAGAAAGGGTTCTAAATCCTTCCATGCTCGGTCGCGGAATGCTGACGTGACTTTTATTTTTTTATTGAATGAAAAAAAAACTTTATAAGTGATTTTTTTCTTGATATATCTTTCTCTATAGTCGCGCTGATCGCTGTAATAACAACAAAGTCGCGGCGTCGCGTGACAGCGATGTAAAGAAAAGATTGACCAATGCTCGAACAAAGGAAATTTCCCAGGCACATTGACGCATGAACCTGGCATCATGGGATCGTGACCCCTGTGGTCGGGGAGCGGCTTTAGGGTGTCTAGAACTGCCACTCCGCAACTTCGATTTCGCGTCTCCAAGTGTGTGGTTGGTGTGTTTGCCTGCTCAACTCTGCGTCGCATTGCTGTCGTATTCACACACTGGCAGTCGCCGCACTTGACGGCGTGGTGCCCGTTTTACCTTGTGTCTTTCATGAAGACTCTAGCTGAGCTTCAGCCTTCGCACATTGAAAACGGAAGGAACGTTTCGAGAAACTTCGTTCCAGCAAGCTTTCGACAACTCCTCAGACAATGTGTTCCGGTTGCTAGCAAACACTGCTCGCTGCTTGGCATGTGTAAGAGTGGCTACCAACCTGTCACAGATGTTTCGTGGAGGGCAAAAATAGACGCCCAACCTGGCCTCGTTCGCGAAGTCATCGTACGTCTTTGGCTAATGGTCCTCCGTTGAGGCCCGAGGTGTGAACTTGTAAAACGTAAGTCATGCCTGCCGTGGACTCATTTTTCGTTGTGCGTCTTTACCAACAGTCGGCTTCGCCTGGATAAAGGACTTTGATTTATGGTAAGAATCTTTGCGAGGACCAGTGGGGCCACCTTTCTACACGGAATGCTTGGTCATCGGTCAACAAGTAAGATACGAAATTCCCGAGCTCGCGAGGGTCGTACGCAGCTTATTTCTGTCAATTGAACATTATGAATTGGTCCTGATGAGGCGTTTAGGTTACGTGCTCAGAAAGCTACGTGAGGTTAGCTACATCGTATAATGAAGCCCGAAACTTTTCTGGGTGGACCTGGTATCGGGTGTTCTCCGTGACGGAGTTTGCAAGAACTATGTGCGTTTCCGTGACAAAAAGTGAAGCTATATGCGCCGACACACCAGCGACGACTTTGGAGACTATGGAGAGACTATATATAGTGAGGTAGGTAGCTGACACTAAACAGGGTAGTTTATTAGCCGCCCTCTTTCAAACTCGTCAGGGAGATTTTCCCGCTTCGAATGACGTTGCGACCTCGACCACTATTTCGTTATTAGATAGTTTGCGCACGGTGTGAGTTGTTGACGTGTGGTCTCCTGTTGAGTGAAATGTGGTTTCAAGGAAGAAAATGGCATGCAGAATAGCCTTGTTATATAGATAGATTTCTGAATGATGCGGAACGTCTTTGGTTCGCAAATCAGCGCTTCATTCTGCAACCAATGTGAGGGGTGGTCAACCTATAGTTGCACTTGATAAGGATGTGTGTGGGCAGTCTGTCCATTGCTGTCGTATACGCTCCTCGCTTACTCCGCTGGTCGCGCCGCCCGTTTTCGTCGACTTCCGGAAAACGTTCCGCATACGCACGCGAACATCGTCCCGGTGAGTATACACGAATTGATCAGGCATTCGTGTTTCTTAAGAGTGGTTCTCGAACGTTTCAGAGGCCCGGTCATTGTGGGCTGCCATACATCGGTGTTGTACTACGGCAATTGTCCGAGCACCATCATGTGAATCCGTCGCTTTAAAGGGGAAAGTCAGCGGTATTCCAGACTGGTGAGTTCGCACTTTTAGTGTCTAATCAGAGCCACCAGTTTTGGTGACCGGCTGTTCTAGTCACATCGGGCCTTGCCTGTGACAGAATCGAAGAGGACGGGGTGCAGGAGGGGAAGGGGGGGGGTACCGCATATAACTTCCACCTGAGCGTAGATGACAAGCAGAATATGGGAGGTGCGCTCTTGCAATTTCATCCCGGACATCAACGCCGCTTCGAATGCCTTTCTGAATTGACCACCATTTCGTGTCGAGAAGCCCACGTGCGACTGCGTGCTCGGGCGAAGTGAACGACATCCGGAATCATCGTGGCAGTGTTTGATATAACCGTGTTGGAAAACCTGTTGTTCTTCCTAAAGCACGATTTTATTGCTGCGATTGCTGCACTGTTTGTCATGATACATTTCATTCACGAGGCTGTGGTTACTTTGCGCTCTTGAGCAAGTTTTAAAATTTCATAAACATACATTACATTCCATAGCTATCGATCACCCGACGTGCATTATAGACCATACATCCTTATGATATACCCAGTAGCAAAAAGCTTACAGGGTTTCTCGCGCACTTGCTGAAGATGACACGAAGGTAAAAGTTGCGTTTTATTTTTCTCAGTTGACGGGTTGATCTTCCCTCTCCTCCCCGAAATATTTATGCACTCAACCTGCTTTTACACTGGCTCCAAGATCGGAGGGGTGACACGTTTTCTGTACATGGCTTTGCTCTGTCTTGCTGCCACGATCGGCCCTTTCGACCCAGTGATCACGTCACGCGATGACGTCACCACGTGATGGTATTTGTGTCATTCGTGTTGACACTGCCGGCGCGGGCCGTCAAAGCTGCTGACGCTCAGTTTCGGGTATGACGTGGCTTTTAACGCTCTGTCCTTAACTTATATAAAGACAATGAGACTCTAATACCATAGCGTTATCTCCCCAGGCATTATGGATGCAGTAAGTGTCGCCTGACTCGGTGTGCAGTGAAATGAGAAACTCTTAATATCCCCGGTGCCACATAAAACGTTGAATAAAGAGAAAGTAACTTGTTTTATTGTTATAAATAATACTTCACAATTTTTCTGTCACATCCGACAACGTCACTAGAACCATTGCTCATTACTCGTTCTATGCCTTGAGTTCCTTGGGAATTCCGGCGTTGACGTCATCTTCGATGCCACACTCGTCATTTCCACGACGAATCTTGAAGTAGCCTGGAACAATAAAACGCGGGCGTTACTTTCGCATTGCAGCGCCCACATACGTCCTGCTCATTTCGAAATCAGTTTGCCAGATTGCGCGTACTCTGATAATCCTTTGTATCGTACATCCACGCCATCTTAAAGGGCCCGTCAACAGGATCCGACTTTTTTTTATGCCCCCCAAAGAATCAAGGCAATTCGTAGAGCAGACCACAACAATCACGTTTTCCGAATATAACAGCACTGCGCGCCGCGAAAAGCTTCCATTCTGAAAAACAATTTCCACGCCTTTTTCCTACGCCACCTTTTACGAGCAGCGAGGCAAAGTCGCTGATCGGCGACTTGACTGAGCATACAGCTCGTCGCGACTGGTCTAAACCGGTCACGAAAACGGGCTATGCCTTACCCTCCTTGTGAGGAAGAAGGATGGCGAGGCCGCGCGAAGACTGGAAACCAGCTGAAACCGATGCTCTGACCCACGCAACTTACCTAATATAGCACGTATTCGCAAAATTCTTCCGGTAGCATGTTCACAAAGCAAGATTTTGCATATTTTTCATCATAACAATTTTTTTACCTCGGGGTTGTTTACTGGCTTTTTAAGAAACACCGAACCACTCCTACAAAAATAAAACCTTTCTTAGAGGACCCCAGCCTTATTGCTTTCAGCATTATAGCACTGGTCGGTGTATGGTCAATAAGATGACATAATACAAAATGAGGGGCTCATGAACTCATAATTAGGGCACGGCGTGTGCACCAAGTTACAACGGAGCTGTAAATGGCACCGGTGCTTGATTTGACGGCGTCAGTTCACGCCCGCCCACAAACGGAAAACGCCTGTCAAGCCATCTATGGGAGGGATTACGTCATATAATGACGTCGCCACGTGGCATGACGTAGACGTCACGAATAAACTAATTTATGACGTCATTATGCGTTCAGATGATAGCTTCATAGGCACTTCGTTGCAGGCATTGTAAATCTTTCATTTCTCAAGAATTATTGACGTGCTAAACATTATTCATAGCATTGCAAGTTCAAGACGATAGCAATAAAAGTTTTACGGTGAGTGAACTCGTATAAGGGAACATGGAACTAAACATTAAGTCAAAAAAGAATGAATCCATTCATTTCTTTGTAGCGTAACGAAAAAAAAAGTCAGGCACTAGTTTTGTTACGGACACTCGCCTTTGTCTCCCCAGTCTTCGTTCCAGGAGTTTGCGACGAGCCAGTAAGGGACGCCGTTCTCAGAGCCCCAGCCTAAGATGCGAATAGCGTGACCGCCCAGAACATCGTCACTGTGCTTCTGGTAAACTCCTGCACCACAAGAAAAAAAAATTCCGCCATATCCACGAAGTGAATGATGATGAGTGGGCGAAGCTCAGGAGGTAAACCTGGTAAACCATGAATCCTCTGTACATTTTGCCCACTCGGTTTTATTACATCGCTCCCCCTAGCGTACGTCGCCGCACTAAATCGAACGATTGCCTTCAACCAATGACACGCGTCATATGTGACATTCCTATTTCATAAGATCTCGCGTCTTTCATCAACTACAAGTACCGCTTTCTAGTTTATAACATCTTGCATCTTTTCATCATCAGCTACAAGTACCACCATCTAGTAAACACTACAAGAACTAAACGAGAGGTGGCTACATACAGGAGACGGTACCGCCATCTAGTGAACACTGCAAGAACTAAACTAGAGGTGGCTACATACAGGGGACGGTACCGCCATCTAGTGAACACTGCAAGAACTAAACTAGAGGTGGCTACATACAGGCTACAGGGGACGCACAGCCCACGCCCTAAGGAGCTTCGCCCCTAAAAGTAGGAGGCATATGCTTCAGTAAGAAAACGGCCCGTCAGATTGCAACATTAGAGAGTTTGAGAATCAGGGCCCCGAGGAGCTTTAGGGACCCGCCAGGGCGCATGCGCAGAACCCAAGCCACTCTTGGACTTTTGCGTTCGAGTTGACCCAAGGCCCAAAAGTTGAAAAGTAGCGTGGCACCAAGGCATTTGGGTCGCCAGTGATATGAAGTAGACGCAGCGCAACCACGGTGCCGTATGGCTGGCCTCTCGAATAATTTGAGTTTCGCAAGTTGTGGCGCGCGCTCCGAGAATCGAGGACCCACCGTCTTGTGTACCCAATTCTCAAACTCTATATTGTACAAATAATTGTTGTGGTTGCACGTCAGAAAAACCACCATATGATTATTAGAAACGCTGTTGTAGGGGGTTCCGAAAATTTCGACCACCTGAGGTTCTTTAACGTTCACCTAAACCTAAGCGCACGGGGCTCATGCACTTTCGCCTCCATCAAAATGCGACCGGCATTCGATCCCGCGACCTGCTGGTCAGCAGCCGAGTACCTGAGTCACTAGACTACTGTGGCGGGTGGGTTACCGTATTAACAACAATAAATACTGGCCATTATGTTTGCAAACGGTGCTTGGTTCTACAAACATATGGTAGCAACATCACATATAGGGGCTGAAATTGGTGCAACTTCCCCAAAGACTAAGAGCCATATGCAACTGGCGTGTACGTATGAAAACAAGTTAACAAGAGTTCTCACTATTTCATTAACTGAGATGCAAATATTCACAGTTAATCTATTCCACAGACCATGCCAGCGAAAAAAAAAAAAAAGTTGAGCATGATATCTATCATAACGTAAAACTTTTCTGAACGAATGTCCCTCACTTTTCTAGTTTGTGAAGTGGGTGTTTTAGAATATCGCGTTCGCTCGCATAATACAACACTTGTTAGCACAAAGCTGGTTTTGAACGTTTTACAAATTGCTTAAATACTAGTCTATAGGCTGTCTGCTGTTATTACAGAAACAGTGATGCCACTCAATCGCAGGTATATACAATGAACTTATCAACGTGGCTGTTTGATTCTACTGAGTTGCTGACTGTTTGTTCTGTTTCTTGCATTGTGCTCAGATTTGGGTGCACGTTAAAAACCCAAGTGGTCGAAATTTACGGAGCCCTCCACTGCGGCGTCTCTCATAATGATATGGTGGTTTTAGGACGTTATACCTCACATATCAATCAATCAATCAATCAATCAATCAATCAATCAATCAATCAATCAATCAATCAATCAATCAATCAATCAATCAATCAATCAATCAATCAATCAATCAATCAAACAAACAGTTATTTATTTTTAATTATTTAATTAAGTATTATAATTAATAATCATTAATTAATCAAAATATTAATTATTCATTACTAAATCAATCATTCAATCCATCAATTGTTGAATTACTTTTATCCTCATGCTAACATGACCCCGAAACAAAGATGGAGTATGCAAAAGAAAAAAAAAAGCTGATTCCTAGAAATGAATGTTTGGTTTGCTTTCCCTCATCGTGCCTACCTCATGCTAACTCGAGTGTGTTCGTAATTGTGCAAATACAAAGTTTACTCTCTTGTGCGTGAGTACAGAGGCACACGCAAAATCGGTATTTGTGCAAAAATAATTCTGATACCAACATGAAAAGCTATGAATAACAAGCAACCAGGACACCTGGACTGACAGAGCAACATATACAGGAAAAGCAGGGAGGCCAGCAATACAAATAGATTGTTAGCTGCACCATGCTTGAGAATAAGAGGCTCAGGTTTAAAGACAGAGAAAAAAAAAAGCAGAACGAAAACTAGCATCAGACATGAACAGTAAAAATAAACGCTAATCAGAACTTCCATCAATAATCTAGGTGTTGTTCAAGAGCGGCAATATATACGAGTAATGAGCACGAGCGGGAAGCTCACCGAAACAAACACTCGCTCACACAAAAAGCGAGTGAAAAAGAAAGAGAAGAGAAAAAACACGTAGTGGTGCACTGCGTGCGGTTAAGTAAACCTTACCGCTCTTATATGACAGGAAGTCCGAGTAGACAGTAAAGTCTGCTTCCACGGGTCCGTTCTTGTAAATCTCCGTCTTTATCTGGTCTTCGTCGCCAGATAGTGTGTAGACTTTCTTACCTGTAGAAAACGAAGATTTACCTTTATTAATTTAGTTGCAGCAGTGTGCAGCAAGGCAAATGAAGTTTAACGTCTCAGGACAAAATATCTTGCAATCCGGTTATGCACTGTGGCTGAAAGTCGGAATGGACATATGAAAAAATGATGTGTTACGAAGACTTGTGCAAATATTGCTTAGTTGAACTCTTTGCTTTCTCAACTTTTCATTTTGCCGAAAGATTTTTGTTTTTGCAGGCTTTCTTCTCGCCGGCAATACAATATTAGATGAAAATTTCGTCCCATCATAAACGCGTTCGAGCTCTGCAGTTGAATGCGACAGCGTTAAAGGGCTCGGTTCCCGAAAATGCAGGTATCCATGTCAGTGGTTGTGAGCGAAAAACCATCTTGATCGTGACCGAATAATCTAGAACGATGCAAATAAAATATATATCTAAAATTTCCAGTTGAGAGAGAGAGAGAGAGACAAGAGAGAAGTAGAGGTTTATTTACTGAAAGGCAGAGAGGTCAGCCTGAGCGATAGCATGCTCTCGCTTGTTACATCAAACCACGGAAAAGGGAAAGGGGAAGAAAGCCAATGCATGATGAGTGTGAGTTAGAGAGGTGTGAACTGAAACTCGAGAAGCTTTATAGCCTTGCATTTACTCCAGTCAGCTGCTTCGAAGAAGGCCTACGAGCACTCTTACGACCACAGCTACAATGTTGGTGTCGGGCCAGGGCCCAACACAATCTCGGCAGTTAATGACCTACTGCGAAATCGTTCAGTAAATGAAACGAAGGTTCGCTTGCAAACGACTTTTCATTTCATCGCTTTCAATGAGTCACATTGCAGGCTGAGTTCCCCTCTTTTTTTGTGTTAATGAACATAAACATCAGCAGCAATAAACTAGTCTAAGAGAGCAATTTGATTACCGAAGTGTTTGTCTTGGCTGTAGCTCTTCTCGTATCCCTGGCGGCAGTTTCGCACACACTCAGGTGTCGGACCGTCTCCCTTGCACGGAGGCAGTCGTCCCTTGGTGTGATGTTCACAGGGTGGGAAGTGGTAAGGCTGGCAACCATCATCCGTACCAGTACAGGCCACCGGTAACAAGGCCTTTGTCCTTGTAGAACTGCCATGCTGAAGGCGGGAATCCTCCGTTACACCTAATACACACACAAAAAAACACAAACACACAGCGATGGATGTTAAAGCAAGTCAGGGACATTTGGTACTGTTTTTAAGAAAAGCGAGATATCTTAGTGTATTCTAGTTAACAGACCACAATGATTGATTAAGGAGAAGGTGTTCCAGAACTAGGGGTGGTGGTAACAGCTCTATCGAGAACTCCATCAAAATTTTTGCCTGGGCCTAGACTGCTGCCGAGGGGACCGGAGATCCTGTCTCCTCGCCAACTCACGGAGCTTGCTAGATGGCTCATCGATGAACTAGGAGGTTCGAGCATGCACAGTGCGGCCATACGCAGCGCCGCATTTTCATGTGGGAGGACTTCATTCTTTAATAACCGTACATTCGTAGTGAATGTGCCTAAGAAATGCGTGTGTCCAGCAGCACAATGCCCAGTTATTTTTAAAATTTATTTCTGGATATATGTTTCTGAAATGAAAGGGGTTGCGGAAGGTGTGAGTTTCTAACTGGCCCCAATCTACCGCTTGTGCCGTGTCAAGTTTGTGGCCCAGAGTGGATACATATTTACAGAAACGGAGGGTGGCGCAATTACATAGCACACGAGAGACACATGAAGACACCTGCGGAAGCTTACACTTGTTTTATTCACACCTTAGGTGAATGAGTGTGTAGGACAGAGAGAGGCCAAAAAAGAGAGTGGAAAAAATCATGGCATATCCACGGAGTGAATGATGATGAGGGGGGTGAAGCGCTGGAGGATTTCATCGCTAAACCATAAGCCATCCGCGAATATAGCCCACTACATCATCAAAGGCGTGACAAACACTGTATATATTTATACAAGAAACTGTTATTATTCGTTAGTGGTAGCTTGGCGTCGCTTCCGTTCCCCCTTTATTATAATGGCTTTATGGCCGGTGAAGGGGTGGATCAGTGATGGGGCATAGTGGGATGTTTGCAAAGACGAAGTAGTGGGTAGTTTGCGAAGGTGAAACTATAGGCGGTCACGTACATACCTACAAAGGATGGACATAAGTGGGAAAATCTATGGTTCTCTAACGTACATCTAGATTCAAGTACACGACCATCTTGCATTTCATATTCGCTACTTCTCAACAGTATTTGCTTCATGGTCGGTGAAGTGGTGTATCGGTTATGGGGCGTAGTGGGATGTTTGCAAATAGTAGTGGGTAATTTGCGAAGGAAAGAAAGGAAAAAACTTTATTCGCAAGGGTTTGGGACAGGGGTCATGAGCTTGATGGGTGGGGCCCAAGTCCAGGGCTCCACTGGCTACTGCTGCCTGCCTGACGTGACGCAGAAGGTGCAAGCTGCACCTCTGGGTCAGAGCTGGCGAGCTGTGCCTCCCATTGCTCGAAAGTATTACGAAGTTTGTATTGACCTAAAAAAGGTATCCAAACTTGGTGGTTGGTTTAGGCATCTCCACAAAATGTGGTAGAACGATGGCGAGCAGCCACACCACGGATATGCATGCTCATACAGCGTTGGAACAGTTTTGTGTAATCTTTGAAGTTCGGGAAAGACTCCCGTTTGAATTCTGCGGAGGTCAATCACACCCTCCCTCGCTGGTTAGCAAGAATTTCGCGAGGGGCCATTCTGAATGGGTCACTATCCTCCTCGATAGCTTCCTCCTGGAGTGTTTCAAAGGATTGAATGTGCTGTCGAAGCTCTGCTCGGTTCGTAAGCCTTCGAGCACAAGCGTCGGCACTTTCGTTCCCTTCCAAGCCTGCATGTCCTGGACACCAATTAGCCTGTGTTTGATCGTCAATCTCCCACCTAAAAATTTGCTTATTTTTATCGGAAGTCGGCTTCTTGAAAAGAAATGGCACGCTTCCTGCGATTCAGAAATGATAATTGTCTGCAGTTCATCTCTCTGTTCCTGCGCTTTGATTGCAAGGGCAATGGCAAAGCATTCCGCCTTGGCGATCGAGGACGTGTACAGCTATGCACATGTCACCATGCAGTTGTCGTCGCTAAGTACTGATGCAACTGACCGTTTGAAATTGTACCTTGAAGCGTCCACATACAAAATATTTGATTTGTTTTTTAATGTTTTTCGGAGTCGTCGCATTCTCTCCTCTCTGCACTTTCTGTTTGTTTTTACGTCCATATCCTTGTGCAGCGGTGAGATCGAGATCTTGTAGAGGGCGGGATCAGGAATTTATACAAAAACCTCGTCCAGGTTCTGGGGGTATGGCGGAAAGCCCTCCCTGGAAAGTATCTTTCTCCCCGCTTTCGTTTGACTTAAACGATTTCTCTGTGCAGTCAGTACAGCTGTCTTCAGCTCAGGGTATGTATTATATATACCGAGGTCCAAAAGCTTTTAGATTGGTGGGCTTACCGGTAGCCTTATGGCCACTTTGTAGGCGCCCCTAATTATAGACTCGATGGTTTCTTCTTCTGGTTTGTTTAACACGTGGAAAGGTAGGCTATACATAACTTTACACAGTACAAATGCCCGTACTAATCCGATTGTGTCTCCTTCCTTCATTCCCTGCTTGGGGTAGTTCATTCTATGGATCATTCGTGCAACTTGTTTCGAGACTGATTCTTGCAAAGGTAAAATTATAAGCAGTCACGTACAAACAATGGGTGGACACAGTGGGCCAATCTATTGTTCTTTTAACGCGCACCTGGATACAAGTACACGACCATCTTGCATTTCATAAGGCCACTTCTCAACAGTATTTGCTTTATGGTCGGGGAAGTGGTGGATCGGTGATGGGGCGTAGTGGGATGTTTGCAGAGACGATGTAGTGGGCAGTGTGCAAAGGTGGAACTATAGGCGGTCACGTAAATACCTAAAAAGAATGGATGCAGTGGGACAATCTTTCATGCGCACCTGGGTACAAGTACACGACCATCTTCCATTTCATATTGGCTACTTCTCAACAGTATTTGCTTCATGGTCGGTGATGTGGTGGATTGGTGATGAGGCGTAGTGCGATGTTTACAAAGACGAAGTAGTAGGCAGTTTGTAAACCTGGAACTATAGGTCACGTACATACCTACAAGGGATGGACGCGGTGGGACAATCTATGGTTCTTTCACGCGCACCTAGATACAGGTACACGACCATCTTCCATTTCATATTGGCTACTTCTCAACAGTATTTGCTTTATGGTCGGTGAAGTGGTGGATCGATGATGAGGCGTAGTGCGATGTTTGCAAGGAAGTAGTAGTGTGTAGTTGGCAAAGGTGTAACTATAGGGGGTCACGTTCATACATACAAGAGATGGATAGACCCACGCATTTAGGAGTTTCACCCCTAATACAGAAAAGAGTGACCCCCACATGCACGCGCAAATCGAAGTGCCAAAAGAAAATATGCTATCACAGTGTTCCAGCAGAATGCATGAAAAAATGCCCATTCATTTTTCTGAATAGCAATCGATGCGGTGGTTATACAATCACGCCCGCTTTCGGTATGAATTGCCTGAATCAGTTCATGGGCTGTCTTGTATTTAATTTCAGTCTAAGGGTCTTTGTTTTTCTTTCACTCATAGTTTCACAGTTTTTCTCATCATTCTCCACGCAGGCTTTGCAAGGACGTGTGATGAGGGTACCTACTGTCATTTTTAATGCACATTAATGAATAAGCAAGACGATCATTTTTGCACTGAAACTTGTGGTGGCTGCATTTCCGATGGAGGCAGAAATTTTGTAGGCCCGTGTGCTCAGATTTGGGTGCACATTAAAGAACCCCAGGTGGTTCAGCTCCTCTTTGCTTTGTGTCTGTGTTTTACCCCCACATTCTCAGTTCGCTGAACCATCATGAATGACCAACTATCCCACCTTTCCATCCTATTGCAACCCCAGGTGGTCGAAATTTCCGGAGCCCTCCACTACGGAGTCTCTCATAATCATATGGTGGTTTTGGGACGTTAAACTCCACAAATGAATCAATCAATGCACCGAAACTTGATTTCCACATATCATCAGGATCTTATAAACGACATTCACTGCGCATTAGACGAACGGATTTTAGCTCTCTTTCAGGCATTCAGTACTTCGCGAGTAACTTCAGTACTTAGCGATTGCTGCTGGCACGCCAATTTTACAAAATCTCTAAGCCGCTTCGCAAGGAGAACTTAAATTCTACTATTTCACCCTGTGGCCTAACTTCAGCAATTAAAAAGTTAGGTAACCTAATTTTCCTAATTGCTGTCCCAGACGATACGTTCACTAATATTAACATGCCTGTAGTACTCAAGAAGTAATTCTGAAGGCATCGAACAAGTGTCGCATTTGTATACACTGTTTTTCAAAGATTTTGGACACATTTCTCGAAACGCATATTATAGTAGGGCACGTTTGAAAGAATCGCCATTGATCGAAAAAAAAAAACAAAGAAAATGCCGAACGCTAAATTGAGACTTCTCCGACAACCCAAGCTTTGGTACTCCAAGTGTCATAGGCCATCAGTGATCAACGTACTGACGAGTGGGTATCATCTAGAACTTTCACTGTCTCAGTGAGTGCGATTATATTTGTGACAACTCGCACAACTCCGCTGTCTTCCAAAAAGTATCAGAAGTACAATCCGCTGACTAACCGTAGATATTTCAGAGGCGGTCCTATTAAAATTTGCTTTGCTCGAGCATGGCACATCTGAAATCCGAAGAGCAAACTGCAAAAAGCCTACAGTGAAAAGAAGGGCAACGATGTGGATGTATAAAAAGCCGATGTGCAAGAAAGATGTATGTCGACGTGCTTTTGGTGTATTTTTCACTTCCGAGGCAATTCCGAGCACAGATAATATATATATATATATATATATATATATATATATATATATATATATATATATATATATATATATATATATATATATATATATAAGAAAACACAGCCAATGCGTGTTTTCCTGTTGTTAACATAAATGAAAAAAAATTTTGCCAACTAAAACTTTGGTTTGTACTACCTGTAATTTCAAGGTGTTGGTAAGTATAAAAAATACACCCTTATCTAATCAGCGTGATGTGAGATGGTTAGGCAGAATTTTTTTTAATGTGGAACAGACGGCTGTCAGGTGACCTTTGATTACCACCTCTTCATGTTGTCGGCATGCGAATAATTTACGGTTGTTACGGGGGTTTATTAAGGTACATGGCGACCGGGAGGATAGCAGCAACAGCAGGCAAGGCGTAGCCAGAGAGCCAACAGCCGAGTGGGCAAACGGTGTAGAACTTACCCGTCACCACAGTCTTCACAGCACGTGAGCAGGTCTTCGGCAGAGATGTTCACCTGGACTCGGCCTTTGGTGTGGATGCAGATTCGGTCGGACATGGCTTCCACAGCTCCGAATGCCTGCGAGTTGTACACGCAATTCAGTAGCGGTCAGTGTAGTGGAGCACCTCTACGGTTTTAAACGTCAGCACAGAAGCACCTTCTGAGAACTCTTATTTACTACCCATTGCACATCTACATTTGAGTTCGTAGTAAGCATACTTCCGCAGACATAGACTGGTACGAAGATGTTAGGCAAGATATAATAATATAGTGCAAAAAAGTTTGGATGCCACTCTTGACAGAATAGTGACTATAATATCAATATATGAGCAATTGCAGTTTAGATTATTACGTTATAAAGCTATTTGTGCGTTGTGCGATGATTCCAGTGATGCCTCCTCAATTGATAGTGACATGTCCACAAGGAAGCCACGAGGAATGAGCGAGTGACGAAGTATGGACAACGTTTTGCCATGGCAATTTTCGTTGCTTTCAAGTCGCGATCGTTTGAAACATTAAATGCACGGATGAAGCGATAACTATTTGCTTTGCTCACCCAACACGAACCACACGTGGACTGGTCCCGGATGAGGTGGATGCTGCTGCAGTGGGACCACTGCTCCCGGGCGTCAAAAGATTCGGGCAGGTCATCGGGGATCTCCGTGTGGTAGTGAAGCGGAAGCCTGTAGTTCTTGCTGTCGGGGTGGACGCCCATGAGCCCCTTGATGTAGCTGAACGGAATGTTCTCGTCAAAGTTCCTGCCAGCCTGGAGGAATGAATTTAGTTACTTGTATTAAAAAGCACTGGTGGAGGTGAAATGCATAGTAGAGGCCCTTGTACTGCACGACGTCAGTACCCGTTAAAGAACATCAGATAGTCAGAATCTTCGGCGTCCTCAACTAAGGCGTTTATCTTATCATTTCGTAGTTTTTGGACGTAATACCTCATATGTATTATTAGTAATAAAAAGTACTTGTAGATGTATTCTTTGTTAGCGACAGAAAATAAGGCAGTGTCATCTAGATAATGAAGATTTGGGCGAATGATTATGAAGGACTGACGATAATGACATGTTGTCTTAGTGTTTTGTGTAAAATGTAGAAAGAAATGACTGCTATTTTTAAAATAATACAGGAATTGACGATATAAAATGTTTATCTTTAACCTATTTAATTCACTTTAGAGCAAGCTCTTCCTATTAAGCGATAAAAAAAAAAAAAAACGCCAGGCCTGCGCTGAACAAGCACAGTCACAGCGAAAGCTAGAAGAGTGCCTTCCAGAGCTTTTTCAAAACACTCATTGGGTAATTACTGCAATCACACTTTGTTGATTGATACCCACTAGGGCATTAATAATAAATTTTTGGGGGGAAGTAGAACGGCCATCGCTATGCCATTTTTTGTCATTCTTGCCCCGCCGCGGTGGTCTAGTGGCTAAGGTACTCGGCTGCTGAGCCGCAGGTCACGGGTTTGAATCCCGGCTGTGGCGGCTGCATTTCCGATGTAGGCGGAAATGTTGTAGACCCGTGTGCTCAGATTTGGGCGCACGTTAAAGAACCCCGGTTGGTCGAAATTTCCGAAGCCCTCCACTATGGCGTCTCTCATAATCATATCGTGTTTCTGGGATTAAACCCCACAAATTAATAATTTGTTTGTCATTCTTCAAAGAAGCGTGGTATTCGCTAAACACTTGCAAGGAATTTTGTGCCAATTGTTCATGCAGTGGCTGACAACGATGAGAAATTATGGCTGTAGTGGGTATGCGCCACATTCAATAGGGGGACAAGAACAAGCTTTCGTTATGGGTTGAAGCATAGGACGGCCCACTCGTTACGCTCCCCCCATTCTGCGACCACTGGCTGTTCTTTCGATGTTGTAAAATGCTTTATGAGTCGTATTAACGCGATTGCCTTTCCGACATCAAGCCTGCCTAAGGTAAGTTTGCCAACAAGTCACAAGCACCGGCGCAGTTCAGTGCTATAATACTGGGCTGGCACCTAGCGGACCCAAGTTCGGGCCCCACTGTGTCATTGGTGATTACGGACACTGACGGTGGTGGCGGACAACTGCACGTGACCAGAGTGGTGGTCTCATAAGAGCTTTCACTATAAAATAACAGACGCGGGAGTAGTTTCTTGGAACCGTGTTAATTTATGGGAACCGTGTTAATTTATGGGAAGCGTGTGGTTAACTAGCGTCGCGTACATATGACTAGCACAGAATCACAGTGTGTGCTGTGTTGTTCTGCCACTGTTTCAGAGGTTACCACATTAAACACACTTGCCGCACATGTTGTGGTATCATATGCGCGTTTTTTTCCCTGTTGTATGATTCAAATTTTTTTATTAAAGGCCTGACATGGCTGATTGACATGGGAAAATATGGTGTGCAAGAATGAGTCATCTGTTAAAAGCTCATTGTAATGGTTATGAAGTTGTGCCTGTTTTTCAATAGGTACGCATATTTAACAGCTGCGAAACTAAGCAGAGGATGGACACGTATATTTTAAATGATTGTACAGTGTTTCATTGAGAAATCTTTAGGTACTACTCTGACATTGAAAGGTTTCGTCAGTCATTGCCATCATCATATATTTGCTTCGAAGAAGCCAGTGTAAAAATATCGTCGACAGAAAATTGGCAGTACTTGGAATTGTCCAAGTAAATTTCACACCTGCCTTTAGAGGGATCGTCAAAAAAATATTTTGGCAAGACTCATATCAGCACAGCTATGCTTTCAAGAAACGTGGGAAAAATATTTTGCTTACCTTCCAGGTGGTGTTAAGGTTGTTGATGAAGTTTATCATTTCGTCAGACAACGGCTTCACAGACGATGGGGCCATGATGCGACCCTGGGCTGCTACGGCGAACAGCGCTAATAATGCGAGAGCCTTCATTGTGTCTGCGTAAATATGCAAGAAACAACACTTAGAAATAGTGAAGGAGAGCTAAAGAAGCTGGTAACATTTGCTTAAATCGTAGTTCTATGGTAGACCGGTGTACTCGCAGTTATTGAGAGGTGTATCGAAGCCTCGATGAAACGGGTAGAAAAGGTCAAGGAAGGTTCAATTAGGTTACTTTACTCACAGTGGCAATTATCATCTTGGTATTATGCACACGATTTTTACACGAGGACAGGAAAAATGAGACTCAAGCGCATTTGTCTCTTTATTGGTGTCCTCGTGTAAAAGTTGTGTGCTTCCATTCAAGATGTATCCCTACCGAATTACTCTTTATAATTGTCTATCAAGTGGGAAATGTCTGTTCTCACCAATACTATGCTCTGCCCACGAACATGACTGTGCCCTACGGCTTTATGTTTCTTGCTGGGCGTCTCTTTTCATTTGTCTCAGCTGTAAACTTACTTTTATTTACGTATTGACAGCGCCATTAGATTTCAACAGTGGTCCTTCCCAAGAGAGTGAATCAAACTAGAAATTCATTGTACCAGAAGCTATACTTATTGTATACACATTTCTTATGACTACAATGTAAGGAAGGTCATTATTGACAATGCTGTTCCCCGCTTTCACAGTATGCCTCAGCAAATGTAGCACAAAGGGGAGCTATATATGTTAGCCTGCGGTTAGGAAAAGATGTTTATATCCCAACCGCACGGCCAGTGAATAAGCAGTTCGCAATATAAGTTAATGTTGAAAGAGAAAAAAAAACAATTTGATTCTTTATCGACACTTTTCCCCATCGAAACCACCCACGTGCACCGATACTTTCTTTCCTTGATGCACAACTCCGACTTAGAAGTTGTGGCGGCTGTATCATGAGCGATATATCTGTATTGCGGTGTTCAACTAAAGCCCTCAAAGGAATGGTCACAGACAGCTAGTTTACCTACCTTTGCAATAATAAAACTACACATCTGTGAATTTCAAGTCTCGACATTTGTTGAAAGGAAAGCACGCAAGCGGCAGGACGGAAGAATTAAGTCGATGGATAGTTTTATCACTTCTGTAACCACACTAATATAAGGCTAAACGTTATTATGGGTGCATGTCTTCTAGCCTGTTTTCAATTTTGCTAATATATAAGTATACGCATGAATTGAAAAGCGTGCGTCTTACCTCGGTTTTGCCAGATACGCCCCCAGGTAAATGAGAGAGCGTCCGACTTCTTTTATAGCCGATATCATTGAGGTAGGCTGCCGCTCTTATCACGAAACGTTGCTACGACATCTACCTGCATGTGTCACAAAAGAACAAAGCCAACTTATCGGAAAGCTACCGATCAAGATAACCGCCGATGAGTACTCCGGTCGAGTGAGGACTATGTATCACATGACAAGCAGACAGTCGCTGCTTGCGTACACGTCACAGGAGTGTAATTTTCAAAAATGAACGCTGTTTTCCCGTTGCTCGGCTGTCCGGCAACGTGCTGGAGCTTTCCGCGTAATTTTAATTATTCTTGCCGTGCCATACGCCGCAGACATGCTGTGTATGAAATATGTCCCCGTCTGTGGTGGTCAGTCTCTACACGAGTTGTTCGTAGATTGTGGTCCTAAATGCTAATGTAATTAAGTTTGAATCCAGCGGCGTTATCATGTGCACCGCTTCTCCGTAATGTGTAAGGTTGTGCGTGGGAAATCTGACGGACAGGTTCTCAGGTTATTAGGTTAGATAGGTGTTAGACCTACAAAGTTTGAAGAGCAGAGTATGAAATGATGGATATGGCACACGCATTTGACCGCTCAAAGAAATAGAAATATTCAGCTAGTACGAGAACCTGAGAACGCGGTAAAACACTTGGTATAAGAAAACCCAAAGGTTTTCGTGTGGTGTTTGTCGGAATGGGGAGACACGGGTGATGTTTAAATTGACCAGAAAATTTATAAACACTTATGTGCAGACGATGATTGACTGCTGGTGCAGCGTGTCAACTGACGACATCGTAGGGCGTACGTTGGCCGCACACACAGCTAACGTGCAGCACAGGGCGTTGTTAGCGCAATAGTTACACTGCTCGTTCTCTGCAGATATTCCAGGGTCAGTGTCGGTGGCGGTGTTTTTGTCTGTGAGCGAGAAATGGGCGTTGACGATGAGCGGTAGATGCAAATTTGAGGTAGATGCAAATAAAGAAATGAAAAAAAAAATCGCAGTGTATGCACGGAGCGAACAATGAGTGGAGCGAAGCGCCCGCCCGTCCGTCCGTCCGTCCGTCCGTCCGTCCGTCCGTCCATCTGTCTGTCTGTCTGTCTGTCTGTCTGTCTGTCTGTCTGTCTGTCTGTCTGTCTGTCTGTCTGTCTGTCTGTCTGTCTGTCTGTCTGTCTGTCTGTCTGTCTGTCTGTCTGTCGATGCGTTCATCTGTCTGTCAAATATATGAAACTGTCAACTACACGAAGACCGCTAACGCCATCTAGTGGTATCACTTTCAAGAACATATACACATAACGCCATCGATTGAGCAATTCACAAACTAGAGGTGGCTACATACTATTACTACTATTACGACATATGAGGGAACGACCCATGCTGTAACGAGCTTCCTCCCTAAGTATGTTCCGTTCGAGGGGAACTGTTAATTTGAACCGGCATGCCCCGCCGCGGTGGTCTAGTGGCTAAGGTACTCGGCTGCTGACCCGCAGGTCGCGGGTTCGATTCCCGGCTGCTGCGGCTGCATTTCCGATGGAGGCGGAAATGTTGTAGGCCCGTGTACTCAGATTTGGGTGCACGTTAAAGAACCCCAGGTGGTCAAAATTTCCGGAGCCCTCCACTACGGCGTCTCTCATAATCAAATGGTGGTTTTGGGACGTTAAACCCCACACATCAATCAATCAATTTGAACCGGCATTCCTTTGCTGTGTACCGCGATGCTTATATATGCACTCACCCGTCACGCATGCATCCTCTAGAGCACTAACGGTAAGTTGTAGTTACCTACGTCATTCACTGTTAGTGGTTCGGACATAATGAATGTTCTTCTGTAGCTTGACTATGAGCCGCGAGATGGCACAAGAGACCTGTGGGTGCCATTTCTTTCAACTGGCATCGCGCCACCACCTAGTGCTGCATGCGTGGTTATAGAAACAAGATGGTGTCCGTACTTTGAGTTTTATTGCGCCATAGAAAAAATATCTAGCAAAGTGAAATCAGTAGTTGGGAAGGCGATGCAATCACGTTCCAATTGCGCTGTCGCACTCTTCCTTTGAAAGTGAAACTCAAGCGTCCTTCGAGTTTTGTCTTGGCGGGGCGCGCAGTTCCACAAGTGCTAGAATGAAATATAGTGGCTAGCAACAAAGAGCATCTGCACCCTTGTGTGTTTTTTTGTCTCACTCAGGTGACGTCTTGTTTGCATTCCCCCTGATGAAGAATCCAATGACAAAGATGTTCAAATAAAACCCTGTGCGTTCACGCTATAGGACAAAGCGTTGTTGTCAGCGACTACTGTAAAGTGGCGGCCACGCAGATAAGACCGGTGTTTTCGCACAAGCTTTACAATGGACAAGCATTCCTGCTCAAAGAGTGTAGTATTGATACTGCTCAGCAGTATTGATCTGCTGAAGCCAGAATGGAATTTGCCTAGCCAGCACGCGTTCTTGAAAACTTTCGGACGTTTCAAAATAGGAACACCGAGGTCAGCGCTGCTGGCATAAATATGTAGTAGAGTGGACGCAGTAGAGACGAATTGGCACAGCACCAGTTTGGTCGTAGGGAAAGAATTACAGTTTTCAAAAATGATTTTAGATGCGAAGCAGGTCTTGCTCGGTGCTGTGTGCGCCCGTCGGCGACCGTCCGCTCCCCCACTGCGCGTGCGCCAACTCCTCTTGCTCCTAGCGTGGGCGCGAGGAGGTAGAAGATCCCTCTCCTCGCACAAGCTTGATGAGGTGGGAGGAGGTGGCAAAGCGCTGTCTCTACTCAATTTCTCCTCTCCCGTTTATCCCTTGGCCAGAGTTATGCGCTCGAATACAATGCTGCACATGCTTACTCCATTGCTCTCTCGGAGCAGCGCTGGGTGTTGTCACTGTGGCACACGAATACACACGAATGGGAGGGACGCTAATATAAGCGGTACACGACGTTTGCACAACCCCGCTCACAAATTAAGTATACAAATGGAAACAACAAATGGAAACACTAGTGAACACCAGCGCTGCTCCGCATCCCAATGTGGTTCCGTTAGTGGGAAGTGGTGTAATTCTTTTCGTTCCTCGAATCATACCAAAGTTACTGCAAAGGAAGTAGTAAATTATTTGGCACAGCCGAAGTTGTTATTAAGCACCAAAAATGCGAAACGGTGGTTTAAGAAACTTCAGGAGAATAGGAAGACGCGACGTCTTGATGAGGTCGAATACCATTCCTGCACACGAGGTGACTCCATACAATATTAATTTTTCTCGTGAAGTGGCACTTCTTTAGTGTTCAGCTACAAAGGCAAGCTGCACCATAGCATGCCGAAACGTCGTGTAATCATTCTAAGCATTAAAGGTTGCATAAGAGACAGTGTAGTCTATCTATCATAAAAAAATCTGAAAAGCTGAGGTGCCTTAGTGCGCTAGCAATCGTTCGCTAAATATGCAGCAGTTGTACAGAACCCCGAAAGCATGACATTAATGTCGTAACCACCATAAAGTGCGGCAAAGAGTGGCATTTTTTTGTCAGTTTTGTGCGCCGAAATCTACCGTTAAAATAGTCGGTATGTCACAGCTGTAGAAGTTACAGTGCAAGAAATTAATTAAGGTACATTTCGCAATTGCATTCGGCAATCTAGTGTTTTTTTAAAGTGCACTGACATCGCACAGTATATACGGGCCTCTAACATATCACAACCGCCATGACCGGGGTTGTACCCGTGACCCCCGGGTCAGCAGCCGAGCAGTGAAATCACTACGCACCTTTAGTAGAAAAATTTTGCGCAGTAAATCGGATGTGGGACCACATTCTGTCATAAACCTGAAAAGTGCATTGCACATGGAACCGTATAAATGCTTCATTGTAAAGCTTGAAACATTATTATGCACTGCAGTGTAGCAAGGTGACACCTTACGAATAAGGGAGTGCAAGTGAGCGAAAGTAACAGAAACAGCGGCTCGTGGGTCGACAAGCGCTTGAAACGCCGCGCCTTCCTCGCACAAAATAATAAATTGGGTAGTCGGCCTTCTTGGTACATACACATCGTTATTTCTGTTCCTTCCGTCGCTTGCGTGACAAAGTAACAAATTGGCACGGTACATGCATGTGTGCGTATTTCATTTGTGGCAGTGGAGCTTTCCCGCAAAAAACAAAACAAAAAAACAACAACACACTTTCTACAGAGATCCGAGCTGTAGTGAGAGGTGTGGGCGGCTTACTACTCCGCCTATCTAGATGTGATGAGAGGAAAAGGAAAGGGACGGCTGCCAGGGCGTTAGCTGGGAGTAATCTCGGGAAATGAGGGCGGAAAAAACAAACATGGCGAAAACGACGTCGATTTTCTCTCACCGATGTCGTAACCATGGTGCAGCAACTATAGTGCGAACCCGTCAAGGTGGTCTAATGGCTAAGGTACTCGGCTGCTGACCCGCAGGTCGCGGGTTCGAATCTTGGCTGCTGCGGCTGCATTTCTGATAGAGGCGGAAATGTTGTAGGCCCGTGTGCTCAGATTTGGGTGCACGTTAAAGAACCCCAGGTGGTCGAAATTTCCGGGGCCCTCCACTACGGCGTCTCTCATAATCATAAGGTGGTTTTGGGGCGTTAAACCCCACATATCAATCATTATAGTGCGAACTAAGGTAATTCTCGCTACAACGCAGCATTGCCATTCCGTACATTGCCGGTTATTAGAGCTATAGTCGGCTAAAGCCTAATAATGAATACGTGCCCAGCACCGTAGTATACTGCAGCGCGCCTGTCATTCACCTGTGCAACAGAGCAATGATTAACTATTTTCGTTCGACACATCAGCACTCTTGCGCTGATGATGCAAATACTACGTATATCATTATTTAAAAGGTGGAGGTTTCTTGTTAAGATTTAACAATTTGTTGAGCAGTAAAGTTAGAATATTCTATGAAATTTTCCAAAATGAAAATTTTCCACCGAAGACTATCGAAATGAACATGTGCCTGTACGGTCAAGTCGTATACGCCTGAAATACGTGAAAGGTCCTGATGTCGCGTAATTAATTCATTGCAATTGATGGCACATTTATGCAAATTCTGCTTGCGTGGGACGGCGACCGCTGTGGGCGGAGCTAACATTCACTCTTAGGCTGTAGCCGACTATAGAAACGCTTGTCGTCGTATTTAATGAATCCACTGCGTTTAATCAATGGCTGTCACCCTACTGTGTAGGTCACATTGGCTGTGCTATGATTCTTAGACCGCACGTAGACAGTCTACGTAGACTGCTTAGAAAACAGCAGCGAGCCCACGCTGTCCGAGAATTGGAACCTTCTGGATGGCTTTTACGCGAAGATGCGCCACCTGGCGTCGAGAAGAAAAAGCTAAAATAAACAAACGTCACAGTTGTGTTTTATGACTTATTTCGCGTTGAAATCAAAAACGAATAAACGTTACTCACATTGAGCGTCTGGGAAAGCGTCTGTTTGTGTACAGATGACCATTTCAGCGAGATTTGATTTATCTGAGCGATTCGCTGAGCCGCCATCTTGTTTAGACAGCAAAGCAGCCTGCATCGAATTTGTCTACGATGCGGTCTTCTCGGAGCTGTCTATTTTGCCGGCTACATAAGAATTGGAATGGGACTTAAGATGGCCGCCGTCCATTTAGCTGTCTATTCAGCCATCTACGATGAATATTGGAACAGAGTCATTGTCGTGATTTCGAATCCTGACCGTGGGATCCAATCCTTCATAAAATGTCATACACTCAAAGAAAATAGAACTGTCCTATGACTTGCTCTCATACCATGTATACTTGTGCGCTAGTTTCGTGCGCCTTTATTTCTATTTGAGCAGCGTCCCTTAAGGGTCGAGCTGAGGCAGTTGTTTTTCCGTGCTTTTTTTGTGTATGATCATTTCGTGCGCGCTTTCTGCATGAGGTGCGCACTGTTTTGAATTTCAAGCTGGTTGCCATTCTTCGAACGAAACTGCAATTTGTTGCTGCAGCATTCATTTGTTCGCCCTCGTGGTGAAACAATGCTAGATAAACACTCAGCTACCTGGGTGATGACATGTTTCACTTTCGTGTTATACCGATTCCTATAAAGAAGGATCAACCATGTTTTTTTTGAGAATTCATGTGCGCGATTCAGATTTGACGAGAATTCATATTTGACTGGCCTTTTCAAAGAGGCACGTGGGATCTCCGTGGAAGTCATTATGATCTCTTCTAGGAGTCATGTGACCCACAGGAAAGCTAACCTCCTTAAAGAGAGTCATATGCGTGGGAAGTGAAAAATGCCTGAAAGGAATCTCTTATACTTGTTTTTTAGAGTGTATAACAGAAACCTGGCGTAAGCACTGCAAACAGACGGCTATTATTTCGTATGCAAGGGGGGGGGGGGCGGGGGTCAAAAGTTCCCTAGCTGGTATCCCTTGTATTCCTATGGCAGCATCGCCTAAGAACGTTTGACCACCCTCCTACTCTCTTGTACTTGTTCATATTAGGCAACAGCAACAATCGATTATTTCAATCCTTGCAGAAGTGAAAACAAGCGAAAAGGAAGCGCGTAGTTTTTATTATCATTTACGATCTACGTTCAATACGCTTTGGCTTCCTTGGGAATACCGGCGTTGATGTGATCCTCAATGTCACACTCATCCTTTCCGCGGAGAATCTTGAAGTAGCCTGAAACAATAAAAGGTCGGCGTTACAGTCACTTTTGCACAGGAACTAGCAAATACCTGGTGCGTTACCTCCTAAGAGAGCCAAGGCCACTGTATACGAGACTCCCAAGTGTTTTAATTCTCAAGAATTATTGACGTGTTCAACTCAAAGCAGGTCTCATGGTGCTTTCAGGACGACAACAATAAATATTTTATGGTCAGTATGATACATTTTATTATGGCATACAAAACAAAGCTCACAGTCAAGGAAGGTGAGTCTGTTCGTTGGTTGACTGCTTATTGACAAAAAAGACAAATTATAGACAGTGTTTTGCATCGAACGCTCACCTTTGTCACCCCAGTGTTTGTTCCAGGAGTTTGCAACCAGCCAGTACGGCACGCCGTTCTCAGTGCCCCAACCTAGGATTTTGATCGCGTGACCACCCAGGACATCGTCGCTGTGGTGTTGGTAAACTCCTGCGCCAAGGGAACATTCAAATACCCATTTCAGCCAGCGAATGATGCCTCGCTGAAATCTATATGGTAGCAATGACCGAATACAGTATGTTTGGAACTAGCGCGTGCTTCAACCAATGTCACGTGGCGACGCGATATCTAGCGGCTTAAGATGACGTAGCTTGCGTTCGAACTAAGTGCTATCTGCAAAATGGGGAACACGTCTGAAAATAAAGGGGAAATATATTTTACGATTTCGTACAATAACATGACAATGCACTCGCGATGAATGTCTCACATAGACTATGCCAATGATAGTTTGTCTCGGCATCTTTTGTAAAGGAGAGTCTATCTTGGCTAATATTCCGCACGTTTTCCGGGATTTAGGAAGAGGGTGGCCTAGACTATCAAATTAGTAAAGTGTGGGACTGCGCTAGTTGATGTACCATTATTAAACTGCTTAGCCTGATTTTTAGACAACGCACACAGAAAAGACGGGGTCAATCGCAGACTTGCAACTGATAATTACCAAGACGCACATATATATATCTATAGGCTACAGAAAAAGGTGCACACACACACACACACTCTAAATTTCGCGCTAAGCAGTTTATAATATCATATCAGCTCGCACTTTGCCATTACTGCTTAGCACCAACAAGTTTACGGGAGGCTAGGTATTGTCGGGAGGCTATGTGTTGTCGCAATGAAAGAATGATCCCTGTAAATCTCAGTGCGATAATTATATCGTTTGTAATTTCAACGTTATACTTATTCGAAGTGATCATGCTAATCAACAGTGCTGGTGAGAAATCGATTTCAGACAATGTCACTTGCCTAGCTAGATTGAGACGCTATTACTGCGGGAAACATACTTGCTCTAGGTTTCAAGGGAGCAGAACACAGTCAGTTGGGAAGGATAAACAACTAAATACCGAGGAAATTGGAAGAAGTTGGAAGCAAACATAGGATAAGCAGGAAGGTCAGCTAGAGAAATACTCTTCACTTGGGTAAGATATCAGGGGCCTAAAAAAAGGAAAGAGTGAAATAGCTGGCATCATGAACCCGTGCACACTGACAGACGCAAAAAAGGACCACAATCGGTGACTGATGTCGATGTTCCGCAGCACCTGCGGTAGAAACGCACTGATGTATTCATAAAAGTAGTTCTAAGTAAGACTAAGATCTGCTGCATACTAAATGCGAAATGCGTCGCGCACAACTTCGAATTAAAGTAGCGAGTAAAAGACGAAAAAAAATCAGACCACACATAATATTACGTGGTACATTATGCGGTTAAGTAAAACTTACCGCTCTTGTACGACATAAAATCCGCGTATACCATGAAGTCTGCTTCCACTGGTCCATTCTTGAATATTTCAGTCTTGATCTGGCTCTCATCTTGGGAAATTGAGTAGACCTTTTTGCCTGCAGAAACAGAACGAGGAACATAAACGAATCGTGATGGAGCAATGTGTAATGCACGCTAAGAACAAAAAATTACCTGTTGCTCTTTTAGGGAGTTCTCCTTTTCCACTTGCCTTACTGTCTTTAAATATACGTATCAACTATCTTTTGCGAAACCACACTGCTTGCGACTGTCCGAAAGAAGTTTTAGTTACACTTTCGTTTCTTTATTATAGGGCAAACGGACTTTAACGCATCGGGACTACGCTTATGTGCAGTAATATACTATGTATGTAGTATGACTCAACATATTATGCAATAAATCTAACTGTAGCGTAGCCAGAACCTTTCTTAGCTAGTGTGAGGGTGGTAATGTGGTTTAACCCCACAGATATGTGTTAATACGTGTCTTTGTAATGTGAGCGTATTATATACATGGAAAATCTAAAAATATCAGGAGGCGGAAGAATGAGATGAACTGCGGATGTGATTTCGATTTCTGCAATACGGCTGCCACGGCCAACTATTGAAATCAAACATCACAAGAAGTCACCGGGGCAGTTTGTACGAAAGAGGTATGCATGATGTTACCCAGGCATCATTTTCGTTTTATGGTGAGGGGCTCGTGTTCTCGTCTATGTCCGACGTTTTCTACTCTTGTTAGAAAAAGAAGGGGAAGGTAATGAGAGAGTATGTACTTTGCCACCATCGTGCTTCACGTTTATTGCATGTCAAATTGTGACATGCTTTAGTTTAAAGAAGATCTATGCAGTTCATACTAATTTTTAAAAACAGAGGAAAACTCATTGAGAGTTAAGGCTCGAATTTAGTCCATTGGTATTTTTTGCGTATTTGACCAATGTTCTACGCTAACGTAAACCAGCAAGCCCAATTGAACTTTATTTAGTGATGGGTAAATGAAGCAAGATCATCGAAAAAAACAACAAGCAAACAGGCTTCTCATAAACAGTGCGGTAAGTGTGATGCGTATCTATGGGATATTGCTCTCGTTTCAAGGCAGCCTGAGAATATGGTTATGCATGGTCAGTTGTTACAAGCAGGGGACAAATTTAGACAATGACAAACGATACTTTGAAGTACTCTCCTGATTGTTCATTTATTAGTAAAATTCGTCGTTTTTTTTGCTCTAGCAAACTTGAATCTTAACATAAACAAACTAGCTGAACTTATTACTTTTAGCTGAATGATTGTATTCGACAGGAAAATACACTTGCCGTAGTGTTTGTCCACGCTGTAGCTCTTCTCAGTACCCTTTGCGACAGTCACGTACGCATTTGGGCGTTGGCTTGATTCCCTTGCACGGAGGCAGTGGTCCCGTGCCGTAGTGCTCGCATGGCGGGAAGTAGTAAGGCTGGCAGCCGTCGTCGGTAGCGTAGAGACCACCGGTAACGACGCCTTCTTTCTCGTAAAAGTGCCAAGCGGCAGCAGGGAATCCTCCGTTGCATCTATCGCGAAAGGCAGGCCCGGTAGATATAAGTGAAGAACGTTTGCTTTTGACACTAAAACGTACGTGATGAGTGTAATTGTCTACAGGGCAACAAACTGAATGGTGGTTTCAGGAGCTCTAGTTATCGCACGAAACATCTGTCACGAGTGCGAGTAAGTTCGATTGCTGCTCCCAGCGAACACGTTTTCATAAAGTAAATATAACCAAGCGCTGATGTTTGCGCATGTAATTCGTCATTTGTAATTTGTAATTTGTCATTTGTAATTCGTCATGTAATTCGTCACTACATTTGCGCATGTAAATCGTCATTTGTAATAGCAGATAATAACCAGCCTTCAATTATGGCATCTCTGACAACCCAAGCCTTGGTACATAAAAAAAAAAAAAACGATAGGAATCGATCTGGTAAAATCTTGCAACCTTTTTGCCGACTTGCGGCACAGTTAATCGATCGATAAGTTAGGCTAAATGTAAGCGTGCTATTTTTTTATCACAGTTCACGCACGCCTAAACATTGCCCACACGAAAACAAAAAACGTGGTTGGGGGGGGGGGGGGGGGGCACACTGCGCTAGCCTTGTCGCGCAGATTTCAGGACGCTAATCGATCGGGCGTGGTACATTTGAAATAAGAATGCTGCTACGGAAATAAGAGTAGGCTCATTCCACACCCCCTCCCATGCCCCCCTTTCATGGGCTTCTAACGCGCCGACCGGTGATGGGTGCGCGTTTTAAGCAGCATTTTTTGGCTGCATGTGCTCCGACGCTTACCCTGGCATATGTAGCATACAGTTCTTAAGGCCTTGTTCTCTATTTGGACTTCATACGAAACATGACGCGAGGAACGGCAGGGATAGCGAAAGCGCAGGCGCGTAAGGAGTGCAATAAAGTGGAATGATGGGCCGGTTGGTACATCATAATGTGGAAATATATGAGCGCACAAGGTAGAAGGAAAAAAACACTCGAAAGGAAAGATGCTCAGCGGAGTGCTCACGACAACGCTCCCAAGATGAATTGTATTCTGCTTCGCCATGTTCTTTCTTGTGGACGCGGTCACATCCATGGGCTCGAGTAAATACTTGAAATACACCTTCCCCTCGACGTCTTTCCGTTACTACACAATTGATATCGCAGTAAATGATGTAATGGCTGGTAGAGGCAAAACAGCGTCAAAGAACAAGAACCAATGAAGAGTAATCACAAAACGAGCGCTGTCTACTCTTTTATTGTCTTTGTTGTTTTGCACTGGTTTGCCTCTACCAGCCACGAATTGTTACCAGCTTGCGCAGTTTTCAATCATACTCAGTTGAAATTGTCAGTGTTACAGGTTTGATTTGATTGATTTGTGGGGTTTAACGTCCCAACAACCACTATATCATTATGAGAGACGGCGTAGTGGAGGGCTCCGGAAATTTCGACCACCTCGGGTTCCTTTAATTTGCACCCAAATCTGAGTACACGGGCCTACAACATTTCCGCTTCCATCGGAAATGCAGCCGCCGCAGCCGGGATTGGATCCCGCGACTTACGGGTCAGCAGCCGAGTACTTATAGCCACTAGACCACCACGGCGGGGCACAGCGTTACAGGTGAGGTGATTATGCGGGATTCTGTTAGGTGGGCCACGTAGTCACCAAGCGATTTTAAAAGTCGACTTCAAACTGCTTGTATATGTATGAATTACTATCTATTAAACTCACCCGCCCCCGCAACTATTGCAGCATGTAAGCAGGTCCTCGGCTGAGATGTTCACCTGGACTTTTCCGTTGGTGTGGATGCAGATTCGGTCGGACATGGCTTCCGCCGCTCCGAATGCCTGCAATAAGTCTAGTTTAGCTCTATCCAACGATTTGAGGCTGACATTAAGCACGCATAAAATCGAACACTTATACGCTTTATACGGCCCACAGCGCGACATCTGAGGCGAACTCTCACTTTCACAGCCAAAAACAAGTACTTATAATTTCTGAAACTCGCATGGCACACTCGCATGGCATACAAGAAAGCATGCCTGTCTTCGGACACAAATACGAAAATGGAAGATATCATTTAACTTACTATGTTATCGTGCCATATGTGTGTTGAATAAGCAGAGAGTTCTCCGTCGTTTTTTCACTACGACGCAACGAATGGCCGAGTGTACCCACTGTTTAATTTATAAAACCGATTGATACATGTCACTCTTTGTTGCCATCGAAAGAGGAAAGATATGCAAATGAAGAAGGAACATTCGCATTGCTTACCCAACATGATCCACACTCGGATTGGTCCCGGATGAGGTGGATGCTGCTGCAGTTGGACCACTGCTCTCGGGCGTCAAAAGATTCGGGCAGGTCATCGGGGATCTCCGTGTGGTAGTGAAGCGGGAGCCTGTAGTTCTTGCTGTCGGGGTGGACGCCCATCAGTCCCTTGATGTAGCTGAGGGGAACCTTTTCGTCGAAGTTCCTGCCGGCCTGGCCGAAGGCGTTTCGTCGAAAGCATTACACAACAGTTCATGAAGGGTTTGCTTGTTAGCGAGAGGGAATAAAGGAGGTATCGTAACCAAGATCACAACGAGTGTCTGTGAACTAACGAACGTAACGATCCTTCACCTGAATGGCTCGCATCGATAAAGTTGCTTATGACTCATTGTGGCTAACAGCGCGAAGACCCAGACATAGAGGTGGACACGGCGCAGAACTGCTTTCTAAGTCTGAATCTTCGCACTGTTAAGCCACAATGAATCTGCGCCAACTCACCTGATTTTCCATCTTGCTTAGCTAATGACTGCTACAGTTTGACAAGTAAGAAAGTTAATGGTCAGTAACGTTCATCTTAACATGTGTACATCTTTTATATATGTAACAAACGGTCTACATGTGACCCTAGAAAAAAACATTAGCAATAACTAAAGCGCAGTGGTTCTATGATTGTGGGCATATGTTTGAACGGCCACTGTTATAAGGACCACCCGAAATTTGAGTGTGTAGCAGATTTTTCGTCGTGGCACGGGTGCCATAGCAGGCAGGAGAAAATATAAGTTTTGCTTGATTGCAGGTGTGTTCCTTTCCCGCTATGCGACAGCCTAAAACAGAGCTGTCTAGTGCTTATTTAATCAATTTGGCGAGGTTCAGTTCAAGTCATTTATGCAAAATATAGCTTCTCTTGGATACTATAAACACTAAAACATGCAGAAATATACTTCCGAAAACATTAAGTCTTGACATCTTTTCTTTGCTTCAAAGCAAGCAGCTTCGCTAATAAAAATACTTCCGGTAAATGCAATATCTACAATTAGTGGTAGCATACGTTATACCAACAGGATTTTCGTACATATAGCAGCCGCCCAATAAAGCAAATTTCTCACAATCGTGGAGTAACTAAATTCATTATCAAATGTTTCGCTCATACACTATGCCATCATTTAGACGTCAATGACCTGTATTCAATTCGTGATTACTTTGAAGACGTCAGTGTAGACACACCATTCTTAGAAAATTACCAGTAGTTACCGTAGTTTACGTAAACTGTGCATCAAACCTCGAATACGTTAAAACGTATAAACAGGGAAGCCATGAGACATTCGCGAAGTGATCCAAAGCAGCGTCAGTGACTCTTTAAAAACAGTAGGGAAATTATGAGGCTTACCTTCCATGTGGTGTTGAGGTTGTTGATGAAGTTTATCATTTCGTCAGACAGTGGTTTCAGAGACGGTGGAGCCATGATGCGGCCTTGGGCCGCCACCACGAGCAATGCGCATATCACGAGAACCTTCATGATGCCTGTGTAAGTATGTAAAAACGCACACTGAGAAAAAAGTGTTAATTAACAATAACGTAGGCACCCAATAGGTTAGTTCTGCTGTAGCCCAGCCGACTATCTAGCACCACATCGAGGTTTTGATAAAGGAAGCAAACAGAACTGGGAAGTCCAAGAATGTTTGGGTAATTTTACATTAGTTGCAAAAGTGTATCACAATCCACACTCAAGCTATAGTCAGGCCATGAAATAGCAACGTACAGGGCTGGTAACTCCACATGAAACGTGATGCGATCATAATACGCAAGCTTGGAATTGTATACCACACACTTCTATATTCTCAAGGTTGTCCAGATTTATAAGTTCAAGAAACAGTAGAATATCTGTTTGATTTGATTGATTTTTAATATGACAGAGTAAACAGGCTAGGTGTACTCTCCGGCTGAGGTGTGATCTCATTGTTGCGTGCACCAATATGCAACAAATGAACAATAGAAGGAGGTTTCCATAGAAAGTATATGATTATGCCAAATCATCCCTCTTTCAACTAAAACTATGACTGTTCAATGGGATATATTTAGAATTATACATGGAGGTTAGGGGCCAAAACAAATCGTCCAGACTAAAATGCTTCTCAGAACTACTTTCGCTTTTGTTTGCAGTAGTTTATTACGCACGCACGCACACACGCACACACGCACACGCACACGCGCACACGCACACGCGCACGCATGCACACACGCACGCACACACGCACGCACACACGCACACACACACACACACACACACATACACACACACACACACACACACACACACACACACACGCGCACACACACACGATAATGTAAGTATTCGAAGTGTATTATTGGATTTACCTATTTGCTGCAAACGAACAGCGTGAACATTACCACAGGAAAACATTTTCGGATTGCGTAGACAAATCTTTCCGCTCATAACATCACGCTACGCTCCTATTATACTAGACGTAAGTTGATGCGAATCTTTGATTTGTAGATTGCAGTCTGTCCTGAGTTTAAATGTACGGAAAACATGCATTGGTTTAAAAGCGTGCGTCTTACCTCCGTTCAAACCAGAGACGCCCCCAGGTTGTTCAGAGAGAATGGGCTATGTTTTATAGCCGATATCATTCAACTGGGTCGTTTTCCTTATCATAGAGGTGTCCGTGACAGCTACGTGAGTCTTACGGGAGATAAGAGAGCCAACGGTAAGCCACCTATTCAGAGAACTGCCGATCAAAACTGCTATCAAAGGAGGTGGATGCATCACATGATAGACAGGCAATCGCTGCAGGTATTTACGTCACTAGAAAGGAATTCCCAATGGAGAGAGCCGTTTTGTTCACAACTCTGAAAAAATCCACCCCATACTCCTGAATGACGTTTCAATTCAATATACAAATGAAAGAGCTATATGCAATGGTACTTTCAGTGCTGTTTGCTTCGTCCTTGTCCCACGACGGGCCGTGAGTGTGCTGTGTGTGCAGTATACGTACCCACCTGTTGTAGATAGCCTGGGTCGGATGCATTTGTAAATCGAACTCAACAGATGTTTGAGTCGTTTCAATCGAACCAGAGGCATCTTTAAAAAGATAAAGGTGGAAAGAATCTTGACTGGCGACTTTGTACGTAAGTGAAATGTTTGAAAAGTGCTAGGCATAGAAAGTGAAGGAACAGCATTACGAAGAGATGCCCACGGAAGCGGCGTTAAGTAAGTCGACGAAAATGAAATGTTTAGCGAACATGACAATTCGAGGACACGATAGCGCAGTCAGAATAACAAAACTTGAATATTTTCATGTCGCGCTTTGTAGATCAAAAAATGAAGACTGAGGTTTTCATTGACGAAAAAATTTAGAACGCACGTAAATGCATACTGAAAATTAGTGCCGAACTGTTACGAAAAAAAATAAAAAAGAAAATTTTCAGATTCCACGTACCTTGTGGTTCGGTGTTATGCGAGCATGCGGAGGGAAAGTGACCGTGTTGTGATTTTTTTTATTGAGTGACACTTTGCAAAACGATGGTAAAGATATGTACAAATGTTGTACACACAGACATATGTTGAACAGTTGCAGATGTTTATATATAAACAGCTGTTCGCACTTGCGCTGTAGTTGAGTGAATTGCGCTAAAATACAGTTCATCTTGACCAGACGGGACAGCTGTATTGTAAGAGTACATATATAATGCTTGTAAAACTGGATAGTCGTGACTGCATCACCAGTCGATCCTTTACGAACATTACGGTCTATTCAAAAAGGAGTTGCGAGAACTGGGCTGCTCTGTGATAGAATACTTGGTTACCACGCGGACTTCTGGGGTTTGGCTCCAGCTGGGATCCTGACATTTTTTCCTTACATTCGTCGGGTCAACGCAGCCGATGTCAGTTTCTCTTGACGCTCAGGCATCAAAATTACCCATGTATGTTCTCACCGTTCCCTGGTAGATATGAATGTCTATCACATATGGCACATAAATGTACCCGCAAACCAGTGACACATACCCGCCCATGAGTCTGGCAATAAAACACCAGAAAGGTAATTATATGATGTCCATATGCACAGGGCTAATGTCCGTACTATCATTTATTAGCCGGGGGAACAGCAGCAAATCTTACACTGTAAAAGATGGGGGAAAACGATACTGCAATACCTCTTGCCTTCAAAGAAGAAAACCAAAAACCCGCCCAAATGAAAGAAACGTATATACATGCCGCTTTTTTTTTATACCCGGAAGTCACAGAAGTTATTTGGGCTGTTGCACGCACACACCTATTTTTTGTGCTCATGCTCACAACTCTCGCTTAGCATTTTTTTTCGCCTGTCATACGTTTGCCACGACGTACTCCTATGGTGTCTTTGCGCTGTTCTCATCTCTCCTCTCGCTCTCTCTCTCTCTCTATATACGGTTTATATATGAATGACACGTGGGAGTGTCAGCCAGCGCCACCAGTATCCATGTCACCGAGTGTGGCACACTCTTTATAAGCCTGTTTTGGCGTCACGTGGCACGTGAACTTATTACGAGCGGGCAGGTGACCAATAGTTCCTCATATACAACCTAAAGGCACCAAGTCTGCCAATACAAGACCCTCGTTATTGAATAAGGAAAGAAGACTATACTTAAGGGCTCGTTTTGCCGTGTTTTGACACTATAATAATGAAATATAACAGAAGATATAGCCAAGCAAAGTATAGGGGAAGATATTAGACCGACTGGTAATGTAGATGTCAAGAAAGAAAAGTGGGTGAAAAGATATTGCCTGCCGTGTGCAGGAACAAGCCTGCGATCAAAACTGCTATCACATCACAACAAGACTGGATATATATATATATATATATATATATATAATATATATATATATATATATATATATATATATATATATATCCCGGCTGCGGCGGTATTATATATATATATATATATATATATATATTATATATAGATATATATATATATATATATATATTATATAATATATATAATATCTATATATATATATATATATATATATATAACACAGTTCCTTTCTTTTGGATGGCGTCCAGCCTTCGTCAGGGCATACGTTTGCAAACCTGAAATGTACTGCTTTTATACGTTAGGGGCCCCTAAAAAGATGTGATAGTTAACAGGACTATATCACAACATGATCGTGTACGGCGAAATCTGCTCATCAATAAAGGGCATTTTTTTTCAGTCATGGAAAGAAACAACGTGAAAACAAGGAATCATGTACAGCGAAGGCATTTAACAACAGTGCGTTAAAACAACTCGATGAACTAACTAGAAACACAAGTAAACAATCAGCAATAATGCACTAAAGAAACTAACAAGAAACAGGTGTAAAGCAATGAAAACAGCCATATAAAGAAAACGTAAGTGAATTGTGTGGCAATGGTGACAATGAAAAATAGAATAAAGCCAACACTTAAGTAAATCTGAGATAAATGGCATTCATGAGAATATAATATAACAAAAACGTAGGTGACTGGCTGAGAACTCATCAAAGCGGCAGGCATGTCATGTGATATTTTACCTTGCGCGTAGCATAGTGGTCCCGTTGCTTAACTTGCGCCGCAGGAACGTCAACTTTTGTGCGCTTTCTTTAACGCCGAGTGAAAATGCCTTAAATTTGTAGATAAGGAATGGTTTGCATGCTTCCCGTTCGTGGTGAGATTGAAACCCAGGTTCTATTATGGTTGCTGTTAGGTCATGGAGTGAGTACCCTGTCGTATTCAGGTGCTTAGATAAGGGACAGGTTAGGAAAAGTTGTGGCATGCACCATGTGAATATTTAACCGCAGTCTGAATGGTGTCGCTGTCCGACATATGTACTGAAGCCTATCGGCTGAGCACTCAAGTAGGTATACACAGTTGCTTGTATCGCAATCGTAATCACCTTTAATTTTATTTCTGAAATACGACGCTGAACTCTGGGCTTAAGTAGAGGTGATCATGTGTACGCACATTTTGCAACGTGGTTTCGCAAAAGGGTGGTAACCTGAATAGGCAGGAGGGGTTCGTACAGGTAAAGTAAGCATATTGAGCAAGTTTCTCGACCAGTGATACACTACTACGTGGCGATTCCGAAAATATGTTTTTGAGACGGTCGCTATACATGAGAATGTTGAGGTGCGTTTGTAGGACGTAGTTTACGTTTAGTGCTGATGCAGAATGAATTAATGTCAGGTTTGTAGATGGTTGCTGTTGAACAGGCTTGTTGGTGTGAAGGAGCTCACTCATGTTCATTGCGCTGGCACGTTTAATGGCATCGTCAGTTATCCGGGGCTGGTAATTTTGTCTTAGTAGCGCATCACTGAGTTTGTCACAATTATCTCGGAAGTCATATTGCGTGGAGCACAACCATTTATAACGAAGCACTTGGCTGTACAATATTCTTGTGTTACTAAGCCTCTTGTGCTTGCTTTCAAAGTGAAAGTAGCGGTGTTTTCAATCGGCTTTCTGTAAAGCTGTGTCAGTAGTTTATCACCTCAGGAAAGTTTGTTTAATGCTGAGTAGACGGGTGAAAAGGAAATTGATGGATGAAAATTGTTACAAGCTTGCTACAAAAAACGAAAGTTCAGTTTTTCCGCGATACCATATCAAAAAGATATTGTTCATAAAGTCCTTATAGTAAAGTTATAGTATAGTATAGTGTCTTAGGGTGCACGAAATCATACGACCAATAAGACCGGATGCCAAAGCAATCGTTTTTGATAGTGGTTCGTCGCAAAAGGTATCGCATGTCGATGATGGCGACAGCATCTGAAGTCTTGGCATTGTCGGCTTCAAATGAAATTTTAAGCCGACACAGTGAACTGTGCGAGCATTTGTTATGTTACCGCGCAAGCAAAACAAGGAATCAATAAAATGAAAGCAGGAGCGAAAGAGAAGCAGTTCGACCTAAAATGAGCTCTTCAGTACGAGAAGTCTGTGGAGCAAAATAGATGTGGAGTCGAATCTTGTCTCAGTTCGAAAAGTGCAGTGCAGAGATGACCAAATAAATGAATCATTCTAATGTCTCACACTTCATAGTAAACGGTTAGGCACTCCAAGCTCCTCGATTTTAAGGCATTATAATTTTACGAATAAGAGGGTGCAAGTCTGCTTGAATAACAGCGGCTTCCATATTGACTAATACTAAAACAACCTCACAGTCACCGCACCGTAGTAAGAAATTGACGCGGGACGCTGTAACTCAGAGTTGCCTCTGACTTTCAAGTGAATTTCTCCAAGCGACAAGGAAGGCAAAATGACTACCGATATGGACAGTATAGCTAAAAGGAGTTCTAGAGAAATCTGTGCAGTAGCCGAAACAACCACGACCGTAATGTAAGACCTAACAGTAAGGACAAAATAAGTCAGGAACGCCTTGAAGGGATTGCAAAGAGGAGAGCTGCTGGTCAATATAAGGTGACGCCATATCTGCTGACAGGCGGAGGACCGCTTGTGTTAGAAAACCGGCCACCCTGTTTACAATGTGTGTATGGACGAGTAGGATACCAGAATATTGGAGGAATGCTAACATCATCTTACTCCATACGAAAGGGGACAACAAGGACTTGAAGAATTACAGGCCGATCAGCTTGCCCTCCGTCGTATACAAGCCATCAACAAATGTAATGGCGAACAGAATAAAGAAAACATTAGAATTCAATCAACCAAAGTATCAAGCAGGATTTAGTACAGGTAGGACTTCGGATAAGCAGGATTTAGTACGACATAAGCAGGATAATCAGGATTTCGTACGACATTGATATTTTCAATCAGGTGATAAAGAAATGTTAAGAATACACCCAACAAGTATACATAGCCTTCGTAGATTACGAGAAGGCATTTGATTCAGTATAGAAACATCAGAATTTGCACAACATTGCAAAATAAAGACGTCCACGAAGCATACATAAACATCCTGGAAGAGATCTATGGCAGAACAAATGCCACCATAGGGCTTCATAAAGAAAGCGACAGAATACCAATGCAGAAGGGTGTGAGACAAGGGGATACGATCTCCCCAATGCTATTCAACGCGTGCGCACAGGAGGTTTTAAGAGGCCTAGAATTACGACAGGTAGTAACCGTGGAGCCGAAACACTAGATTGAAGTAACTAAATAAGAATGAAGTGTAGCACATTTGGCAAGTATTCTCGAGTCACGACTGGTAGATCGCCATTATCCCTCAGGAGGAAGGTATACAACAGCTCCATCTTACCGCTACACACCTACGTAGCACAAACCCGGAGGATTGCAAAGAGGGTTCAACTTAAGTTGAGGACGATGCAGTGAGCAATGGAAAAAAAATGGTAGGGGTAACTTTAAGGAACAAGGAAACATCAGAGTGTATCAGAGAAGAAATGGGTGTTCATGACATCATATATAGTCAAAGTGGAGAAGTAGAAATGGTCATGGGGAAGACACGCGCAAGATAACCGCTGGTGTTTAAGGATCACAGACTGGATTCCAAGAGAATTGGCAAGTAGGTGAAGGGGATACAAATAGTTATATGGGTAGATCGGAGATCAGGAAGTTTGCAGGTACAAAGGGGCAGCAGCAAGCACAGGACCCAGTTGACTGGCGGAACATGGGAGAGGCATTTGTTCTGCAGTGGGCGTAGTCAGGCTGCTGCTGCTGATCGCGATGATTATGAAGGCACCTGATTAAGTAGTCTATCAACATCATGTACGCAAAGCAGTGCATTGACTTACATTTTGCTGGGGGTTAGCTGGGGAGGTACTAGTGGCTTCTGAATCTAAACTAATTAAGGAGGAGATACACACGTTAAACAGGATGAACGTACTGGATCACGCTTCAAGTGCACCTTCTCCTGGTAAGTTCAAAAGGAAGAAAAACAGAAAAAAATGTTGCTCATTTCTTGGGAAGACAATGAGCATAAAATGGATAACTCAGTCGAGACCTAAACCAAAATTCGTCGAAAATTCCTCATGTCGCCATCCACAATTTTAGGTAGCCATGGGGCTCCCTCGTTCGCTATTTGGCGAAAAGTGGCCACCAGTGGCGACTCTGCTTTAAAAGATTTGCAGAAGTGGCAGTCATGCAGCGTTCTCTCCGAAAACAGTGCTCTCTAGTTATCCGAGCAGTAGATACGAGTGTAGGTGACTAGCTAGTACGCCTATGTCGAGCGCCGAAAAGCGAAAGGAGGAAACGAATTCTGTGGTTGATTACGAATATTACTGATCAAGATCGCTCAACAATACAGAAGTGCAGATAGCTGAGACTTGCACATGTATATTTTTTAAATCTTTCTATATTTTTAATCTACGTCCAGTATGCCTTAGGCTCCTTAGGAATGCCGGCGTTGATATCGTCCTCAATGCCACACTCGTCATTTCCTCGGCGAATCTTGAAGTAACCTGGAAGAATGAAATGAGAGTACATCAGTCACTATTAAATCTATCTATCTATCTATCTATCTATCTATCTATCTATCTATCTATCTATCTATCTATCTATCTATCTATCTATCTATCTATCTATCTATCTATCTATCTATCTATCTATCTATCTATCTATCTATCTATCTATCTATCTATCTATCTATCTATCTATCTATCTATCTATCTATCTATCTATCTATCTATCTATCTATCTATCTATCTATCTATCTATCTATCTATCTATCTATCTATCTGTCTATCTATCTATCTATCTATCTATCTATCTATCTATCTATCTATCTATCTATCTATCTATCTATCTATCTATCTATCTATCTATCTATCTATCTATCTATCTATCTATCTATCTATCTATCTATCTGTCTGTCTGTCTGTCTGTCTGTCTGTCTGTCTGTCTGTCTGTCTGTCTGTCTATCTATCTATCTATTACTATCTATCCCTATCTATCTATCTATCTATCTATCTATCTATCTATCTATCTATCTATCTATCTATCTATCTATCTATCTATCTATCTATCTATCTATCTATCTATCTATCTATCTATCTATCTATCTATCTATCTATCTATCTATCTATCTATCTATCTGCCTGCGTGCCTGCGTGCCTGTCTGCCTGTCTGCCTGCGTGCCTGTCTGCCTGCCTGCCTGCCTGCGACTAGTCATGTGCGGCACATAACAACGTGACCGGTGTTATGTGGGCATCAGCCGCAGGTGACTCACAGCCTATTTAAATGAATGTTTACAGCCGTAGCGTAAAGGAACCTGCGCCAAAAAATGTGGTGCCGATATCGATGGCATTGTGAATGAGCTCAGAATTCCGATGGAAGCAAAAAATGAGGATCCGGACTGATGTGGGAATCGAACGCAGGAATTCTGCGTGGCAGTAAAGTATTCTAGAACAGAGGCACGCTTTTGCTTCTTAATGTTTCGGAAAAAGACTATGCAAGCTTATCGACAGGGATACGCCTGCTGAGTTTAAAGATTTAGGGGAGAAGCTCCTTTTAGTCAAACCTTGTCACGAGTCACGCGTAACCGAGAGAGGAAGAGACGAGAAAGAAAAGAAGGCAAAATAAATGGATGACTATTTCTTGTCTCATTTCCTAGATGGCGTATACTCGGCCGCTACTCTCCGAGTGGCTGCTGCGCACGCTTTGCCTGAGTGCGCGTAGAACGAGTGCCTGTCTCAGTCTCCTGGAAAGTTGCCGTACGTGGTGGATTGTTGGTGGGACATATACGAAGCAGAGCGGCGGGCGCGTTGAAGACGCTTGCACTCGGCTTCCTTGGCTCGCGTCTCGTCGGTGTTACCCGCACGCTGTCTGCATTTTCGAACGCGACCGCTTGTATGGACGCATGCACGAACGGACAAACACTCGGACGGATGGATGGACGGACGCTTCGCCCCATTCATCATCATTGACTCCGCGGATATGTGATTTTTTCGGCTGTCGGCTGTTATAAGAATGTAACAAACGATACACATGTGTACGTACGACTCCGAAAGCTGTAGTCAAGGATTACTCCTATGCGTCGCCAACTGTCACTCGTGATATGTCCCTCATGCCACCGTATATAGCGCGTATTTCGTTACAATAAAAGTAAAAGATGTGTCAAACGAAGGTGCCGATGTTAGTGTGGTGGCATGCCTGCTAAACAAACAAGGCATGCGCAACTACACAATTTGTAAATTGACATTGATCCAACTCGTAAAGCTTGAATAAAAGCAAAAAAAAGAAAACTAAGTGGCTTAGAATGCTACTCACTAACTTATTTGCAAGAAATTGAGATGCGTACTTATTTGCTAAACTTATCACTGTACAACTTGCATGCTTTCCGCTCGTTTCAAAGCCTATTGGACCATTCTGCCTGCCCTGGGATATAATTGTGTCGTACAGGAATTCATGTTTCAACCGACGCACGTACTTTAAACAGCACGTGCTACACTGGGGCGTTTTGGTATTCATGCGCACTTTAGTGTTTTCAAAATATGGCATTTAGGATTAGGTGGTCATGCAATGGCATAGTTTGAAAAAAAAAAATGATCTCATAGCTGGGAGAAGATAAGTACATGCATGTATTCTCAGCTCAGCGAGAATAAGAACACCAATAAAACAATCGAGGTTGTGTTATGTATCGAACACTCGCCTTTGTCTCCCCAGTCCTGGTTCCAGGAGTTGGCGACCAACCAGTATGGGACGCCATTCTCATTGCCCCAGCCTAAGATGCGAACCGCGTGACCACCTAGTAACTGATCACTGTGATGCTGATAAACTCCTGCGCCACGGGAACATTCAAAAGCATGGCTCAATAAACAAATTATCACTCGAGAAGTCTTAAAGACAGTATGTCTAAAAATAGGAATTGCTTGTAGCAAGAACAGGTATGTATAGAAAACGATACCTAGGAACTAAATAAACTTTTTTTTCTAAGTCAATACTACATGAAATCGTGTGTTCGGAGTACAGAAAGCAAATGAAAAAAAAATATTGTAGGAATATGCGCATTAAAATGCTGAAATTCTGAAAATGCATGTATCTTATGCTCCGAGCTATTGGAACCTTGTTACCGTATTTTTGTATATGCGGAATGATATATTACAATACTGAACGGCAGCGGGAGTTCGTCTTCCCAGGCCTCCTAGTTCAGAGCTCGTACGTCGTTGCGTTTTTAAGCCATGGTCACAGACGGCCGTGGATTCAAGTATTTTTACTGTTGTAGAAAATAATTCACAGGTGCTCTCGATAGAAACCTGCGTGAAGGAAAAGTCTAGGCGTTTGCCTTAAGAGAAACGTTGGCTGCGAAAGTAACGATAGGTAGCAAAAGTAGCCACGAAAGTACGAATTAGCTTGTACATGCAGATCCACAGTACACGCAATTGAGTGACACTTACCGCTTTTGTACGACAAGAAGTCTGCGTAGACAGTGAAGTCTGCTTCCACGGGTCCGTTCCTAAATATTTCCGTCCTGATCTGGGTCTCGTCGTCAGAAATGGAGTAAACCTTCTTACCTGTACGGAAGCAGCAACGATATATTTATTAATAAAGATAGAGCAAAGTGAAGTAGTATGAATTAACCTTGATGTCTTAAGTCAGAATATATTCAGGAACATCATTAAGAGACGGCATTGAAAAATCAAACCCACATGCGAATTTTGACAACAGAAGGGGTGTGAACTTTGTTTTTAATCATGCGCGGTTTCGGATAGATTCTAGAGCATCGGATAAGTTACATTTATTCAGTATATGTAATACTAAAACCTCATACATCTTTGTTTCTGTAGTTCCCCTTTCGACTGGTTGATTGTAAAGTAATACATAAATATTTTATATGAACTTGTATAAGCAAGTTCATTCCTCTTGGGAGAGCAGGAACCCTAGCATGCACCGAGCAAGTTTGCCTTTTAAAGCAGCGTGACCAGTTGATTCTAGCGTTCGTTTCAGATGAATTGATTGCCATATGGGTAATTTTGAAGTTGTCTGATTGGACAGCTGTGGTTCAATATTGCAAGCTTCTAGTTCGCACATGCATTCACAATCAGTAATAACATTTTCAATGCTTAATCGTAATCAACTAATTTCACCAGCCACAATCTTCTGCGCCTCCTGGGAACCCGCATTCTCAAAATCTCTTGATCTTGATTATTACTCTAAACCATTTGCCAATACACTGTGCTTACAATCCTGATTTTCGAAGCGTGTCGGCCACGCCTGTCTGGCAACCAGACAGGCACCGCACAGTTTGCCCTATCACGCATAACACCAGAAAATGATCGACATAGCTAATAGACTGCGCTCATGACCATCCCTTCCAATAAATATGTTAGGCAAAATAAATGTACCTACCGAAGTGTTTGTCCTGGCTATAGCTCTTCTCGTACCCTTTGCGACAGTCACGTACGCATTTGGGCGTTGGCTTGATTCCTTTGCATGGAGGCAGTGGTCCCTTGGTGTGGTGTTCGCAGGGCGGGAAGTAGTAAGGCTGGCAACCATCCTCGGTACCGTACAGACCACCGGTAACAAGGCCTTTTTGCTTGTAGAAATCCCAAGCATTAGCAGGGAACCCTCCGTTGCATCTAACACAAGAGGTAAAGCCATAAGTTTTAAATAGGTGAAGAAAGTGCTATACTAAAAAATACGTAAAAAATGACAAAATCTTCTTTGTTGCTTTGAAGGACGTTATTAATATCAGAAACGGTAGTCATGAGCTCCAGCAATGAACAGCTGCCATTTTGAGTGAAAATCAACAGAGGCAAAAGCAAGAGAAAGTGATATTGTACTCAGATAATGTAGTTCGTGAAAAGAAATGCAACACCAAACTCCATTTTAACGTTCCTGAGAACACCAGTTGCGATACTGTGAATCTTACTGATTTCTTAGCTAATCAAGCAAAATACTTATTTGCGATCTTCTTATATTACGTAGATGTTCCAAGAGGTTTGCAAGTTCATTAGCCGATCCGGAATACTTTATAATAGTAACAGCTCCGAACGCGGCACACATGTCACTAAAAAAAAAAAAGAATACATCAACTTTAGAAGGTATTTAGGATGGACTACATTACGAGCATGCACTACTTGACTTGAAATCAGCAGAAAGAGTTTCGCAAAGCACAAGCAAGCAAAAAATATGCATGAACCATATCTTAAGCAGTATGGAATGGATATCGCGGCACTTGCCGTTCTGGTGTCGGCACCCTTTGATGTTCTTCATGGCTAGCGATACCTTTGACATTTTCTTTAGTTACAACATTGCTGTTGCTTGCTGCCTTTTAGGCATAAATTTAAAATCTTTTTTTCTGGCACTCCAAAATTTGATTATTGCTGGACTTGCCGAGCTATGTAAATGTTGGTATATACAATATTCAACGTACCCGAAACCACAACCGTCACAGCATGTGAGTAGGTCCTCGGCTGACACGTTCACCTGAACTTTTCCGTTGGTATGGATGCAGATTCGGTCTGACATGGCTTCCGTGGCTCCAAACGCCTGTAACACAAGGAGTCACCCTTTTCAGCACTTCAAGCCACGTCACACAAATTTCAGGTGAACGCTTTCATAGGGTAAACTTTTAAATCAGTGGCATCCCCAAAGAATTTCCGTTTAGCATGTGCGCGTGCCAAAAAGCTTAGTTTGCAATAAGTGTGCCTTTAGAGGCACGTACGTGTACTGAAATTTAAAAAAAAGTATGCTTAGAATAATGAAGTACCACGGTGAATGTGTGTTTTGATGGAACGTGAACTATACCTTGAATAGGTGATATTATTGTGGTGGGTAGAACCTTCACCGTTCCTTTATAATGAATATAAAGTTGAGGGTAGCTTGTTTATTCAACTATTTACTCTGCATAGCGATAGGTGGACAAGATGGCGCTAGTCTAGCAACAACTAAAAAAACACAATTATGTTCCTCCTCTTTCATACAACCACGCTGCGGCTGCTGTCACGCGTCAATGTTTCAATTCCGTTTTATGCCGTTGAGCTATTATTTGCAGATTTGGCTCTCGTGTTCACACTTTTATCTTCTCTATGAGGAGGCGAAAGTATCCACCGCTGCTCAGTAAACGGAACAGGCCTCAGGTATTGACGCTCAGACTCTTGCAGGTTGGGGCATGTCCCAGTCCTGCACTCTTGCACAAAATTTATCCGGAAACGCAGTCGTCCAACACATGCGTGCTGTGCTCAGACTTCGCCAGCTTAATCATATGCTCTAGCGGTGCCCTTCCGTTACGGGTTGAAAACGTCACTTCGTCCAAGTGGGATGCGGTGCTACGCAGTACGAATTCAGGGACGCAACTATGGGCAGTCCCATGGGCCCACGACGTGGCAGAGAGGCTGGGCCTGTCTGTCGCGACGTGGGAGCGACTTACTACGTGGTAGTTTATGCACCGATGAACCTAAATAAAGTTTTCCATGCCATAACACATGTTCACACGACCTCGAACTACCTGTGAGCTGTGTTTTCTCCCCACGTTCGAAAAATATTTCAACTTCCACTGAAGCTCTCTCTTTCTTGCCGAGCAAATTGTGTCTGAAGGTGAGCCACAAATAAAGGACTATACGTTCTCCTAACTCACCCAACACGATCCACACGTAGATTGGTCGCGGATGACGTGGATGCTGCTGCAGTGGGACCACTGCTCCCGCGCATCAAAAGATTCCGGCAGGTCATCGGGGATCTCCGTGTGGTAGTGAAGTGGGAGTCTGTAGTTCTTGCTGTCGGGGTGGACACCCATCAGTCCCTTGATGTAGCTGAGGGGAACGTTTTTGTCGAAGTTCCTGCCGGCCTGGCCGAAGACGTCGCTTACAAAGTATTGCAACGGAGTTCTAAAGCGCCTTCTGTGTTAGCGACAGCAGACTAACAGATGTCGCCTGTTTAATCACAATCGCAGTGAATGATTATTAATCAACGAAAGTAGCAATACTTTATCTGAAAAGATCATCTACGAAACGAACCATTAAGTGTAGCAATTATATATTTCGGTGAACACAAAAATAAACACTCGAAACGTTCATTTTTTTATTTGGTACTTTAGGTAACAAGCAGCTAACTAAATGGCTTTATAGAGAGTATCTAATAGAACTAAAACAAAGCGCTGCGAGGAGTTCTGGGCCGCATGTATGTTTAACTGGTCGTTATTATACCTGAATTATGCAGAACTGAAGTGCCTATTTGTTTTTTTTTTTCTCTTGGAGCTGTTCTCATTGCAGCTAGAAAGATCATACTTCCCAAGCATGTTCACCGAGTCACAGGTGTGTTCTTTTTTGCTATGTGATAGCCATATTTTGTTTTTTTTTTGATAAAATATCCACAACTACACTTCATCAAAAGAAGATCCCTCTTTTTATGTGCATAGAAGTGCAATAAAAGATGAATTTTTCCTCGGTTACGCATTTGGAGTGGTTGCGTAGCTCAATAAAGGTGTGGAAACTACCACGCTACTAATTACAGTGATATTCATTTACAAAGCATTAGTTTCGCAGGTTACTGCCATGTGGAGGTACATGTGCATACAACTTCGGCAATGACAATGGTAAAGTATTGCTTAAAAATTTTCGAGTATTTACAACGTTGAGCTTAACTTTGCGCCGCACTTTGAATGGCTTGGAATGTAGATAAAGGAACACAAAATTACTTCTCGCAGGCTTCGCAGAAACGTGCCTAGTGCCTTTTTCACAAGACGCAGATAAATTATCAGGTTTACCTTCCACGTAGTGTTGAGGTAGTTGATGAAGTTTATCATGTCCTCGGACAACGGTTCCACTGACGATGGGACCATGGTGCGCCCTTGGGCCGCAACCACTAGCAGTGCACATACGACGAGAACCCTCATGCTGCCTGTACTGAAAGTGTAACCAAATTAGGGTGAGAAAAAGTTCACAGCTCATCCACGGAGTGAATGATCATGAGCGGGGCAAAACGTCTGTCTGTCCGTCCACCCACCTGTCTGTCTGTCTGTCTGTCTGTCTGTCTGTCTGTCTGTCTGTCTGCTTGACAGACAGACAGACAGACAGACGGACGGACGGACGGACGGACGGACGGACGGACGGACGGACAGATCGATGAACGTACGGACGCTTCGCCCCACTCGTCATCATTCACTCAGTAGATATGCTGTGAGTTTCTTATACAAAAACCAGGAAAGCCATTTAGTGATATTGTTTTCAAGGACATATGCGCAGAACGTCATCTAGTGAGCAATTCTTAAGACTATTGAAGTGGCTACTACTTCAACACACTCTTACACAGGAGGGAACGACCCACACCATAACGAGCTTCGCCGATAAAAAATTGAATCACTCATAATGAAGCTATTAACAGTAGTCTATCTAGGAGTGTGTTCATGCAGGTGTCGCTGCTGCTGTCGTTATCTCTGCTGCGAACTCAAAATTTTTAGGTTTCGACACAGGTACACATTTTCAAGGGGGTCCGGGAAGTGCGTGTAAGCAATCAAAATAGAATAATTTCTTCTGCACAAGAAGCGAATAATTGTCAGTGTTATCCTTCCCTTTGTGTTATGTGTGAATGTATTATCACGAAGAGGCTTCAACTGTAATCTGTGGTTATGGGAAACACATAATAACTAAAAACCATAAGCTCCAAACGCCAAGCTGCTACTAATAAAAAGTTTATTGGGACTGATAAAGAGCAGTCGGAAAATGCAACAATGGCATGCCACACTATTCATACGTTGTGTTGAAGGTTACTATGCGAATTCAAAACTTGTGAATGGAAATATTTTCATAGGATTTATAAGCTATGTGTATGCGTAAGAGTAGCCATACTCCTTACCTTCGTTTCAGCCAGTAGTGCCTCCACGTCAGTCAGACAGACAGGCAGTCAGACTTTCTTTATAGCCGATAGTAATTAATTGGACTGTCCCTCTCATTGTAGAAGTTGCCATGACATTACATGCACGTGATTGGAAATGATACGGTCATCATATCGAGAGGCCACCGATTGATAGAGACACAGATAAGTACTCACGTAGAGCCAGGAATCACATGACAACCAGATTATCGCTTCCAGTGCACGTGACTGGAATGTAATCTTCAGAAATGAAAGCTGTTTTCACAACACATAGCAATCCGCCTACGTGCTTCACAGAGCATACAATTTAATCAGGAAAAGGGGAATGTCGCGCGAGTGGTTTCCGTGCAATAGACATTGTGCTTGCCATCAGATGACCCGTTGTAACGCGGTACTAAGAGCATGTCCACGCGTGTGATGGGCGCCCGCTGCACGAGTCGTTTGCAGGACACTATTTTGAAATGCAAACGCCTTTTAGATTGCATCTTTGGGCATTCTCAATGGACAGACTTTCTCAACTTGTTATAAGTGTGTACAAAAATCTGGTAGACGACTTGTCGAGTAATACTGAAAGTAGCACAAGTTGGTTTTGATTTGAATTCATCTCACCAGCGTGAACGATACACGGGCTAAGAAAGACTAGCGAGAATACGTGTGTATATTTAAAATCTCTAGCTTGTCCTTCGTTGTCAAGTAAGTTATAGGGTTGTAAATGTGTTGTAAATGTGATTTTTCAACAACAGAATTTGACGAGAGGACATGGCACAGGCATTAATTCAGTCGAAGTGAATATGGCTTGCTCAGAAAAAGAATTACCTGGTAGTTCTGTTGGTTTCTATTATATAACTCACCTCTGGTGTTTTTTTTTACTAAGGTCCATGACACGAGTTTTATTCCCGGTCATAATTATATGTATAAAAATAGAGTAAACACATGTGAACTAAAATTTTGCTGCAATCCCAGTTGCCTAAATCAATGCCTAACTTTATCAAGCGTGCCTTATATAGCATCTTCGATGAGTAAAACCATCTAATGCCGTTTATCTTCCCGTTCGTGCAAACCTTAGTGTGCTGAAGACATCGCCTATGTTTTTTAACAGTATCATCGATTCCGATTGCGAACATTCGTATTGGTAGGCTTACATAATGTGGTTAGCAGATCACTTTGTGAGAGTAAACTGCATACTAATATTCGAACACAATCTATCCTATACTTCCAGGCTAGGTTCTAATGCAATGTTAATTCCTTCAAACAGCCTGAAGAACGAGTCCTAGCCGATATAAATTTGTATATTTTTATTCGGGTACTTGTGACGCTGCGAAACAGGAAGACTGAATAAGCAAATCGATAAGCTTTGTGTTGCTGTCAAAAAGAAAAAAATGAAGGCAGAGAGCTGTGTGTCTAATTAACTTGTGTTGGAGTGATCCAAGAACTGTCTCATCATAATTATGCGCAATAAGACATCAACAACAGCGTCATGGCGTGAAGCATAATAGTCGAAGGGGGCATACGGAAGAGCAACGTCCCAGTACTTGTGTCTTGTCAAAAATGCTTAGCTAGCACAATATTAAGCGTTCTGTTTAGCCGCTGTACAAGAACTTTAGTTTATGAATAATAAGACGTGGTTGCCGGACACTTAGTAGGGTTGCTACTGTCATATATGTATGTCACTGATGTTCTAGAAAAGATTTAGTTGTGAATCACGCCCTTTAGGTTCTGTCTTTATTTTTAATGCTCAATGGTTCGTGTCTTTGTATTTCAGTATTTCAGTTATAAGGTGAAAAGCAACGTCCGTGATCCGACGGGAACTGCCCACAGCGCTCGGTGGTATCTGAGGGTGTTCTTTCAGAGGAAATTCGTGATGCTCCTTGTGCGACTGGGAGGCAATACACTCGAAAGCGCAACTAGTTTGTTGCCAATACTAAGTTTTTAACGGAACGAGCCGTACGCGAAATGAAAGTTGGATAGGAATGTCGAAGGGTATTACAGGCTCAGGGGGAGCCATGAGAGTGAGGTTCTGGCGTTGCCACCAGTCGCAAGCAGTAGCACACAGGCAAACAGGACAAAGTGATCACGTGTCAAACGAAGCAGCGAATCACTTAGAATTCTCTTCGAGCTGCAACGAGACTGCCAGCGGCGGACACGTCGTGGATTTGTTGAAGTACGGTGTAATATAAACGCCCTATAGAGCGAGCACAGGTCGGTGAAGCAAAGAAGTGTGAAAATTTAAGAAATCGGTTTTTTCTTTGACGCGGTATTATTGAAAACTAACAGACGATGATACCAAGAGTAGTATAGATGGTGTTATTGGAAGTAATGTGATGTAGGTGTGAATTATGACAAGTGGATTGAAACAGAACTTGCCATCGGCAGGGACCAAATCGGAAACCTTCGAATGACGCGTTCGACGCTCTACCCCTGAGTTACTACGGTGGTCATCTCTCCGTACACTTTAGAGGTCGTATATTTGCATTTGAACGCGAAAGCGTCAGTCAGCGCCTCCTAACACGGCAGGACAATACTGACTGTATACATTGGTGGTTCGAGCTGGCTGTACACGTTCTATCGCTCGGCAGACGCGCCACGCCTGCATTGGACAGAGCTTTGTGAAGTGTTTCCGAATATTCTAATCTGCTTGCGCCAAAAAGTGTGGTGGAGTACCTAGTGGAACTTACTCAAGCGCCACTGAGAGCGCTGAAATGCACAAAGAAGCTTGTATGAATGTCGAGACGTTGAATCTGCCGAGCAGATTATACACGGCCGGCTGATGACCGCACTTGCCGCTATCAAGTGTACCACCAGGGTTACTTCCTTTGTTGGCTACGGGTTCGCCCAGAAAAGAGTTCTCTTTTTTAGTTGGCGCCAGAGAGGCTGACTTCTTTCCCATAACATCCATGTTACAATATTTGAAAAAAAAAAAACAGAATGATTTTTGAAAGTGTTCACTGGGCTTACGGGTCTATGCATTATCC